TGTATGTAGGGGTGTGTGAACGAAAAGGAGACAGTGTGCCTGCAATTGTGTGAACATTTCTATGTGTAAGAAAGGGACAATATGTGTTTACAGTGCATGCTGCACGCTCCTTGCACTGTTTCTATGCTAATGCATAATGGGTTGATTGGCACTGTGAGTGTCCGTGCCTTTGCAAGCAAGAGAAAGGCAGAGTGTGTGTCCGTAATGGTGTGAATGTGTTTCTGTACCTCAGCAATTATTTAATAGCAATAATCAGTTTGACTCAGTCAAGATAATGTGGAGACTGCACTAGTATCTAAAGGAGCCTGCGTCCTCAAAGGAGAATGACAACATATTCCAAGGCCTTAGCCAACCAATGTAATAATTTTAGTGCAGGTCCCTGCTGCACCTCAAGGTGATGGTATCCTGCAGTGCCTTGTGGGATGGTCAGACCAATGGCTGCTCTCAGGCTAATGGTCACCACAGCCAATCACAGTGAATTTTTTTAAGATCAGGGTAGCAGCTTCTCTATTTGAATATAAATAAATAAAAAATATAAATAAACAATGTAAACCACAGCAGAAAAAACATGGGCAGAATTTGGTGGAGGGAACAAATAATAGCATTTTATGATTATAAAGGTATCAAAGACCCCATATTTTTATTCACTACCGGATCATTTACCTATACTGTACCTAATAAGTGCTGGCATGAATCATCCATGCACTGCTCTGTCACTGGGAGCAGCTTTATTTGAGCCACTTGCCTTCCAGTGTCATCACTCAGCCCTTCAGCCATTTTGTCTCTAAATAAAACCTGTCTTGAAGTACACTGTATCCTCATGTTCTTGCAGCTCTTCTCCTAGCCGCCTCATCAATCTTTAAAGGTTTTCAGGACATCAAAAATGTCAGGCAAATAATCCAGAAGAAAGGTAAAATTAAACTTATTGGCAGATATGTCTCTGGTATTCACACCCAGTGTCCGGTTGTTATTCTCAGCTGTCAGGTTGTGTTTGCCACCAGGACTGTTGCTTCCCCTCCTGCTGTCTTCAGATGCTAGACCCCTCATCCCTCCTACCAGCAGTCACCTGATGCCTCATTCCAGGGACCCGTTTCCTTATCCTGTCACCAGGTGGTGACACAAGCATCCTATAGCTATGAATATTTTCTGCCCTCTGTGGCTTCAGCACTGTCTAAATCAAATTCTGTCTCATTTGGGGTTTTGATTCATTCATCTACCACAATTTCCTGAAGTAGCATAATGGATTTAATTTAACATAATTGTTGCCATATTTAAATTAATTAACATAAAATGGGTTCTAAATATTCAATTAATGTTCATATTCAGCAGTTCACTTTCGTGGAATTTGACACATAAACAATATGGGGAAAAAAATGCATTTTCTTACTGTCTGAAGCTGTTAGTCTTACTTTTCAAGAACATTTAAAATAAGCTCCCTAGGCCAACAGCTGGGTGTGCCAGGTAACTGTCCTCGATATGAGCCTACAGAGTACGTGCTGGGTAGAACCAGAGTGGGAACCAATCCAGTGATCTTTAAGTAGTGTAAGCCAGTTGGTGACTGATACCATACTGTAATCACACTACATAGTGCTGCCTGTTAGGTGGATCTCATGATTATGTGTGAAAGCGGCCTTGAATTCTGATTTCTGGTCCTTGAAAAACAAGTCAAATGGTTCAGAGGTTAAGAACAGTCTCCCTTTTACAGCTCCATGGGACCTCTGTTTTATAATGGAGGAAATTTGCAGTTCCAGTGTTTCTCAAAGAAAGCCTCTTGTGCTTTTTTAAGGCTTCTTTTCATGGAATGTTTCTATTAGTTCCTTTTCTGATCCAGTAATTGACACCCTACATTTTTTTGTGTTTTGAGAAGGCAGTAAGCTGGCTGTGCTTTTTCACAGAGGCGGACATTATCTTTTGTCATGCCTGTGAATCTTCTCCTTTAAGGAGCCATTTTATTTTGCCATATATTAGGTGAGCAGAACACTTAAAACCCCTATTCCACTTACTTAAATCTCTTTCTGTACAAAGCAATGTCCTTATTTAAATGAACATCATTAATGAAAAGACCTGTCTTCAGTATCTGTATAATATTTTTCACGCATTGACTTAACAGGTCAGTACTTTCAGTTCTAATGTCCGTGCTCTATTTCTTGCTCTGTACTACTCAAACAGGAAATCGCTGTAATGCTGTTAATAACTTTAGCATGTGCAATCTGGTAAAATATCACCAGGTGGCAGCGTTTTGCTGCTTTACAATTTGCTGGACTGCATAGTTTGTTGTTAAGCAGTAACTCAGCATTTGTTTATGCCCCCTTTTCACAGGAAATCATTTAATATGGACATACATGTGATTCGCCGGTTCCCCACTGCAGATTTTTGTCTTTTGCGTGTTGTTAATATGGACGAACACAGTGCAAACATTTCAGAATACAATTGGGAAATCTACACACTGCTCCTTAAAATGGCATGGGTCAATGTATTGGTTACTGAACCAGGCACATAAGCAATTGTTTAGAAATTTACATCTAATCACGGGGCCTCCTGTTTTACCTTTGAGTGAGACATTTTATCCTAATAGTGTGATTTCCTAAATATAGCTGCTTTAATGCTGACAATGATCCAACTGCAGGTCCTCAAACCTTTTAAAAAGCATTCCATGAAAAGAGGCAAAAAATATAGCCTCTGGTTGTTTTTCTAAAGAGTTTCCTACCTTCTCAGGTGAATGTCCCAGGTATTCAACTGCCCCCCACCAACACACACACCTGGGCAATGTCCCAGCATGCTCAGAGATGCACTTAAAAGGCAGCCATTAAATGCCTCCCTTTGTGTGTCTGAGCACCACTCCCCCCCCCCCCCCCCCCACCGTTGCATGTGTGGGCAGATAGGCTCAGGTGGGCTCAAAACCTTAAAGAATGTGGCCAGGTGAGCTGGGAAACCGGGGGGCAGGGGTGGGGTCTATGGCAGGTGTTGACTGCTGCTTTTTGTGCTTTACTTTCATCAAACAGTGAGCAGATGTGAGAAAAGTTGCTCAAGGCCAGTGGTACCAGCAGCTAATGATTGGTCTGAATCCGCAAAGCATCTGCCAATGGCCAGCAGCGCTATCAAGTAATAGCTAGTGTGTATTCGTAATACATCTGACAAAGGCCGGCAGTGCTACGAGCTAACACCAAGCTTGTATTCACATTGTATCTGAGAAATCTTAGCGTCTAGCTGGAATTCACACAGCCTTTTTATCCAAGGCAACAGCACTTACTTGACCAGATACTTTTTATTCACAAATACAAAGGCTAGTCAGGTTGGTTTTGATTCATAAAGGAATAATAAAAAAGCAGACTATTTCAAATTCTGGCAATTAAAATGCTGGCTCACACCCACATTCTGAGATGATATTTGTGAGCTTTGTATATTCAATACCAATGCAGCATAATGGCGCTGACAAGGCAGATCACTCCACTAGGTATGTGGGGTATAGTCATCAAGTGAACCAATTCATGCAACTGAATAATTGCATGAATAATTGTTGCAGCTTCGATACCTTTCCCAAAAGTACCGAAACAATTCCTGCCCTGCCATTTGAAAAGACGGCCTTTTTGTTCCAAGTGCACTTCCCTAAATGTTAAGTAACCTCCCATACTGACACCTAATGACATTGACGGGGCAGAAGGGAGATTGGGTCATAGTGGCACTAATTACCGATCAGTGCAAAGACGTGGCCTAAAGACTCATAGGCACTGGTGTGGAGAGCTAGCTATGTGCTTCAATGTCCCCCACAAGACCAGGAGGTAACTGTGACATTCAAGGTTATTGCAAATGTCCCCAGCTCACTCACATCCAGCTTTCAGCTCAATGTTTTATCAGTAACTAGGGTTGCCTCCCAAGTTCTTGCAAAAACAAGTAAAACAAACAAAAAAAGTAAAACGAATCATAGTAATATGCATATGAAAACATAACAAGAAGGATTTCATGTTTAATGCTCCATATTTTGTTGTATTTTCCTCATATGTCTTGTCTTTATATTTATGTGGCATGCTAAGTTGCAGGAAGCATGCAGGTTCAAAATATTTTCATTTACTGTGCATTTCATTTATTGTTACTTAGAATAATTCTAAGACTTTGTTTCTAGTCATACCTACTGTGTTTTTGTATACATCCATCCATTTTCTGTACTTGTTTTCCTATTTAGGGCTGCTGGGATCTGGAGCCTATCCCAGGTATCAAGGCAGGAAACAACCCAGGATGGGGTGCCAACCCATTGCACACACATGTAGGGTAAACATATCCTTATGGGGACCGCTCATTCATTTCAATGGGAAAAATGCTAATGCTAACTATGACAACCTTAACCCCTACCCTGCCCTAACCATAACCATAAGTAACCTAACAAAATACAAGAGTTTTTGCATTTTTAGTTTTTTCATAGCAGTCACCGATTTTTATAAAATAGAGTATTCCCTTATGGGGACCAGGAAACCGGTCCCCATAAGGGAAAAAAAATGGATATTTATCACGTTATGGGGACATTATGTCCCCATAAGGATAGGTATACCCGCTCACACACACACACACACACACACACACACACACATTTATGGACAATTTGGGAACTCCAGTTCACCTTAGTGTGTTTTTGGACTGTGGGGGGAAACTGGAGTACCTGGAGGAAGCACTACAATGACAAATAGGAGTCAGGGTGGAGATTTTAACCCTGGTTCTGGAGGGAAACAGTGCTAACCATGTGCCTCCCCCAAATACATACATATTCAATAAATATAAATATACAAATATAAACTTAAATATACAAAGACATGCAACATGACTACATGGAGATCCTATTTCCAGAATAATGCCATCACTGATTAAGACCGTGTTCTTCCAGTATTTACACGGGGATTACACTCAGGGTGCATAACAAAGAGGAGGCTGAATTAATTGGGATTGGCCTAAAAATAGCCAATGGGAGGCTAGCTTCAGAGCGTCATGTGAGCTCAGAGATACATAGGTGCTCACTTCTGCTTGTAAGCCTGCATTCATTGCTTGCCCTGGCCAGATCAGATCAATTTTGTGGCTGTTGAGGAAACAGACCCTTTACGTACCTGAACCTGTGTAGGTGTTTAGGTGGATATTTGGTGAAAGATGGCTGTAGCTAACTTCCACTATATAACTCGGATGAACAGTGGATTTAAAGTCTACATCTTGGAAGGTAATTAATTGTTGCTTGATTACTGCTATTGTACTGTCATTGTGTTAAACATCTAACATGTGTACTTATCTGCACGCTTCTAGTTCTGAATTTGCTGCTAATTATATGCTGATTAACATCCTAGATTTCCACTTTGAATGGGGGTGATTTTTTTGGAGCATGCCTGAGCTGCGGTGACTGGCCCACACTCTAGTCTATGTGATTTTTAAAACGGGAAACTGACCCATTCCACTAGTGCTTGGTTTAAATTAGGGAAAAGAATTCTAGCACTTGTTGTAAAGGGAGAAAATACACCCCACATCTCTGTAAATGCATGCACAGGCAGTCAGCATTGCTTTGTAGGTTTTTCTAGTCTGTTTGCTGTTTTGCTTTGCCCCTGAGGATAGACCTGCCTGTGGTCACTGATATCTCTTCCAAATGTAGGTCTGCTTTCTGGCTTGATTTCCTGCCTGATTTGATGCGTTTACTTGCTGATTTCTTTGTATTGAGGTGATTGCTTTATATGCGGATAACAGCATGATTAGTAAGATACTAATCAGTCCAACTTTATTCAGCAAAGGTGCTTCCCTTCCTTCCTTGCCTGGTTTACCCATCCATCTACTTTTATGAAACACTAGTATACAATAAAAAAAAACAATGCTAATAATTTTACCTAATACACATTATAGGCTTCATCCTAACAATATGATGATTTTTTGTTTTGTTCTTAGAAATAATTTTCTTTTAATCTACCACCAAAATTTATTCATGAACAGAACTGAAAAAACCACTTGTGAAATTTTGATATTTTTATTCCTGTTTAATTTTTTTTTTAATGACAATCCAGTATACCTGAAAACGTTAGTATATGTCTTCACGTTAGTCTATAAATGTGATGTGGATTTCAAATGAATATTTGCAGAATTGTTACTGCCACTTCTTACTGCATCTTAATTATAAATAATTTTTTTAACACACTTTATGTAAGTTTGACTTCTTATCAAACTTAAGTTTATTTGGTCTGATTATCTGTACCATGTTAGGGCACATTGGAGCAGAATATAAGATTTTACAGTCCGTTTTAAAAGATAATGGTTCTTTTACATATGAGAGGCTGTTCTGTGGTTTCATACAAAAAATAACCTTGCCTCGGGCACTGGAAAGTCAGGTAAGGTGTGGTTTTCACCCCACACCCCATCAAATCCAGACCTCCAATGCTTTGCTTTTTCCCTGGGGGGCTGTTTTGAGTGGGGGTACCATTTCTCCACATTACTGCCAATAATGGACACTTGCAATCGCAATGAGTTAGGAATTCTTCATCATTGTCCTTGCAGACTCCTGGAATTTGGCTACTTGATATTGTGGCATTGTTCTGTTTGATGGGCTCTATGAGCTCAAGCCAGAGAATTCAGCTAAATAGAAGTTGTGGTGTGAAGTATTCATCCATTGCTAAAAAGAGTTACCATTGAAGAACTCATTACAGGTCTTCTCAGCCGTGTTTACGAGAGCTTGAATAAACTTTGACCCTGTAACAGGAGCAAAAATAAAAGGAAGTTTTTTTAACACTTTGGAGCTGAAAGACTTCACACAGATTTCCATTCTCCATGCGTATGTAAGCCTGTGCTTCAGGCTTCTTAGTAAGAAACTCTACTGTGATAACAAACATACAGCATAATTATCACATTTAACTTTTTGAACAATAATCCCACTGCAATTGTAAATCCTTTACTACTCAGTTCCTGCTCCAGATTCTCAGCTTGTTTTCTTCTTCTTTTTTTATAATTATTTGGTTGCTGGTTGCTTTTAGTCATAAGTCCTGGCCCTTAAGTACCATGGCGCCTACATTTACTGTACATATGCAGCCCTTAAAGAACAGGTTTGCTAACAGGTTGCATAGAACTGTAAAGCTACAGTTGTAATTAGCCGCAAGCCAATTAACTCATAGGATATTTCCTGGGTAAAGCCTGAGATTCTTCTCAGGAAGATATTTTTTTTTCTTATTCAGAGAAAAATAATTGTTTACTAATTGTAAAATATTTTAAATCTACATAGTTTTTCTGGATCAAGACAAACTGAAATCTAACTGAATTTGATGGTAAATGGGGAAATGGGGACAATCAGGAAGCCCTTTAACTCCACTGGTGAAATTTCTGAAGATTTTCTCTTCACTGTTTCTAAAGGAATTAAGGAATCCCAGATTTAACAGAGGAGTGTCAGTCATGGGAGAAAATCATCATAATGTCTGTCACTAGAAACAACACAATAAGTGTGAATTTGGTTGTATTACAGTGGGTGTCAGAAGGTCTTTGTTTGCAATCAACAAGTGTGAGAACTTTAGTGCATATGCTGTATTGAAAGACAAGTGAGAAAGGCCAAGGAAATGACAAAAAAAAAGAAATGGCAATATACTGGAATTTCCTTAAGATGTTTTGTTGTTTTGTTTTGGGCATGGAGCATGGAGAACCAGTTTGGCATAAACCAGCTAAAGGCTTGGGCTTCATAATCTACCATTCATCAGTATTTGAGCTTTTGCATGCTTTTATTTGAAGAGAGTACACTTTATGCTTTTAGTTCACTTCCCTAAACATGCTACTAGAACTTAATCAGTTTCACCGTGTTCCTGATGAAAGTGCAAGAGCAGATGTGGTATAGTTGTGTCAGTGACAGCGAATGGATAATTTGGAAACTGGTGCACACTTTTTTTTTCCCTTTTAATACATGCTGTTATGCAAGTACAATATCCATGGATTAATAGCATCTTTGTTATTGGTATTTCCCAAGAAGGCCATGGCTCTGGGCGTATTTTTGTGCCTCATGCATCAAGTTCAGCAAGTTATTCTTCTCAGAGGTGATACACCAGCATGTGTGTCATTGGGAACAACACTTTCCCACAGTTTACGCTCAATGGGGGGGTGATGACACATTTACACAGACTTAAAAAACAAGACCGTTACGTGTTTATTTGCCACTCCTCATCGCTTGCAAATTTTCGGTTATGAGATGATGCATCTCCATGAAGTCATGGGGTTGTTGCTCTTCTTCATTCTTTTCCATGTCTGTTCCCCATAGGCCAGCCCAGCCTGAGAACGGAGGACCGCCATCGGCAGGTACCCAATGAGAGGGCTCGGCTGCCTCTGGTTCTCCCGACCAAACGCAAGCGCAGTGTGGACCATGGTCTGCCAGGACAACTGAGGCCTGGGAAGACCAGCCGACTCCCCTTCGTTTTAGCATCGTGAGTCACCGTCTTTCATGGCCATCTCACATTTCTTTACACTGGAGCAATTAACCAGTGTAGCGGATACCCTTGCACATAAAAAAAAATCTTGACATACACAATTCAGAGCATAAATACGTTGCAGCAGCAAGTAGCCATTTGTGATGTCATTGCATATTCTCCACTTTTACAGCTGTTTTCTAATTTGAATTTACGATTTGGGACTAAAGATATAACTGCCCACATTGCGAACCTCCCATGAATCTTAAAATCAACATTGTGCTAAAATCAGCATCAGCGTGCTTCATTGCTTTTAACCTGTACCTCCTATTTGTAATTTTGTCCTCCAGGGAAGAGAGGTTACCATTCAAGAATGTAACCTGTAGCCTTCAGAGGAAGTCCAGCCTGAGTCCCCCCCGGAGTCTGCCCCCATCACCCCAAAACTCCATTGTGACGACCACCACCTGGAGTCCCAGCCAAAGCCCATCCCACAGGCTGTCTAGCCCTACCCACAGCCCCACGGACCAATGGCAAAGCCCCAGTTTTGACAGCCCACCTATGGACGAGCCTCTGGCACTGATCAAGAAGCCCAGGAGGGCTGAAGGTCCAGAGGTTGATGCCAGAAGCAAGGGCAAGCTAGGTGGCCAAGTTCAGGTGAGATCCAGGATGGCAATAGGCCGAGAAGAGTGTTATTGTGGGGGAGGCCCTTGTTTGTAGCGTAAACTAGACCTGCTATTAGCACAACAGGCTCTGCAAGTGGCTCTGAGATTCAGGGAAGCAGTGATTCACCCATCCTAACCCCCCCCCCCCCCCCACCAACCAGCCACAGTTGCTGGGAATATGAAGAGAAGTTTGAACAGTCAGTTATGCTCCAGGGAGGACTGTGCCTCCTTTACTCAGGACGACAGGGCCTGTCAGGATCTGCCTTTGGGCGGGCAGCCCGGTGCGGGGGGGGGTGGGGGCAGGGCGGTCCAAGGCTTTTCACCTGACATAATCCTCTGAGCAGGCAGCAGGATTGGCGAGCCCATGCTTGCCTCAGTATGCAACCCAGCCAGACTAGGGCTAAGCACCGGCAGCAGGGCAGAGAGCCAGCAACGAGCCCAGGCACATGGCCCGTCCCTGGGCAAGAGACACACAGACAAGTCTCTCACTTCCTTACACAGCTCCTAGTACCCCTTCTTACTGTTTTGCTAATTGTGTCAGTGCAGAGTTTGCACTTTTCTCATTGTTTCACTAATTGTGCTCACAGAACAGATTTAAAATATGTACATTTGACCCTATGGTACTTATATTAAAATGTCATATTTCACCCATTGAGGAACCCCTTTATCTACTTTGAATAGGAACCTTGTTGACAGGTACCAGAGCTGTTCCCTTCTTGACATCATATCACTCTTGATGTAGTTTTTCTATAACTGTCTGGCAGCTTCCACAGTGAACGGCACAGAATATGGTATAACATTTGAAGTGTACGGGAATCCTTTGCATGAACGATAAAGTGGAGCACAAGTGAACACAATAAAAACACTGCAATATTCAAAACCATACACTCTATTAACATTCCTCAATGCCTCATTCTACAAGCTGTGGAGATCTTTCATGATGGAGAGATATTAGGCTTTAAGGATTTAACGGATTTGTGAAGCTTTATCCCACTTACAGACATAACTCCCAACTGTGTAGATTCATTAGATAGACATTTGACATCAGACGGGCCAGTAACTAACCACCAATGTCCTCTGCAGATGCGTCCTTCTGTCATCACCTGTGTGTCTCGGTCAAGCTCCGCCCACAAGCTTCCTGACGCAAAGCATCGCTCCTCTCCTGCAGGTACATCCCCCCCCCCCAACTGGTTCTGGAGCTATCCTCAAACCTCCAGCAGTGCCAAAGCCCAATCCATGCCACCCCCTGGAGTCTCTTTAAGGAGGGGTCCATATGTCACGGAATTCAGGACTAGACACTTGGGGGTGCCCTTCAGTATACGTTCCGTGAAAAGTTCCACTGCAACTGTGATTGGATAAAATGTTTTAAAAAAAAATGTTTCAAAATAGATGGAATAATGGCTTATACACAGAAGGGAACTTTAGGAGATGCTCATTAGATTAAGAAACAGTTCAGAATTATATTGAATACCTATAGAAAATTGTTCAAAAATATCAGTTTATTATTTGACAATCACTGAGAAAAAAATAGAGGGATCTTTGAGGGAATGTTGCTGTTTTAAATGCTACCATGTTTCTCACCTTCCTCATGCTCTTCCTCAGTGACCTCACCCATGGCTTATGACCACGTCGTTGAGGAACACTTCCGGCGAAGTCTGGGGGTCGACTACAACAAGGCCAGCCCCCACCGTATCTCTGTCAGTGTCTCCGTGGATGACCATTTCGCCAAAGCTCTTGGGGAAAAATGGCTTCAGATCAAAGCTTCCTCCTCATCCAGCTCCTCTTCTTCGTCCCCGCTCAGCAGCCCCAGCTTCTCATCCAGTGGTGCCTCCAGTCCTTGCAGTCCCTGCAAGGGCCCAGAGGGGGGGTCTGAGGCCGGGTCTGAAGGCACACCCCCACTGTCCTCTACAATCAAATAAATACTTAGACTCTTGCCAAAAACATTCTCCTCCCCAGAATCTACCAGAGTCAATACTGAAAGGCTAAACTTCAAAGAGCATTTCTCTAGGGTTGTAAAGTTAAAGTTAAATTGTCACCAAGATTATTTCAAGTAATGGTTGCATGAATCTTGGTAGGAGGGAAAAGTGTTTAAAAAGCTATTGGCTTTTTCGAAGGAGGTTTGCTCTTGGAAATCAACCAAATAGCCATGCTGGAGGTGGTTTAAATGGCTCTGACGGCCATGTAGGTAGAATAATCTGGACCTCAGGCAAGAGACAGAGCTGACCGCTGAGTCCGTGTCTTTGTTGCCCACAGCATAGTGGCCAACCGTCTACTCTGAAGGCACTGACGCATGCCACGCTTGTAACTGTGACAGATTGTTTGCAGTTATTTTCACTATCCGCGCTTATCACAAAATCTTGCTGCGCACATGACTGGAAAACAGAAGCAACTGAACGTTCAGTTTGACCTCCAGTTAGTGAATAACAATGTGGTAAATTTAGAGTAATCTAAGTGAAAGAGTTCTCTGGAGATAACAATAGAGTTGTGGTGTTCATTTTCACATGTATTGACTGGAAGATTACTCATGTTTCCATTGTAGAGATAAGACTATGTAGAACTGAATGGCATAAGTCCAGAATCACTTGGCTTGTATCAACCACACAGTGTGTTAGATGTTCCACCAGTACATGGAATGTTTTTTTCATGAATATTCTGCATTTATTATTCATATCAAGACCTATTGTCATACACATTGCCATGGAAAAGCAAAACCATTTTCCATCCCTAACTGTGATGTCAGTATTGTTATTGGTTTGGTGTAAATAATAAAAACACATATGTCATACATTCTGGTACTAATAATTGTCATATGACCAAGACTTGCATGTATATAGATTTCCAGTGTACAGTCTCTGTATTTTCAATGTTAATGTCAAGCAAACTAGTTAAAGAAAGACTGTTTGATATTGTACTTCAAGGGCATAGGTTTGATGGAGTCCAAATCAGACCCGAACCCCCTGCCCCCCTAAACAGACACAGTACTCCCAAAATATTGGTCTAGACATGTCTCTACCGGCCATACCCAAATTTTCGCCCTTGATGTACGCCCTTGATGTGGTTGCTGTTGTCAGTGAAGACCACACCCAGTGATTACATTTATATCATTCCTTAATCTCTAAATGATTCAAATTCCATTTAACAGTCTATTGGGCATGTTAAAAGGAGATACCATATTTGGGACCACACTATACCTCTCTATTAAATCTTATGAATTATTAAATATATGACTATCTGGTGAAATATATGACATAGTGGTCAGATCCATCATCCCATAACTGTGACCCATCTTGGCGGCACAGTTTGAAAGCCCATACCACCACACCTGGAGGTCCTGGAAATGCCTTCTTATAACTGACGTAAGAAAACCTGCCATGTGCACAGAAAACCATGCTTCCACAAAGCTAAAGGCAATAAAATGCCAAATTTCCCAAAACCAGTCCATACGACAATACTTCAATGTTAAAATGTAATAATAATCTGGCTAATGTATATAAACTGAATGTTTTAATGTAATTTTGCCTGTATATTTTTGCAGCATTTTTAATTAAAAAGGTTTTTTGTGTTAATTCCTGTCCACTGATTCACTGCAGTTTCTACACATACACGTTGCAATTTGCAAATAAATTTGAATTGCAACATCTGGATTACTTTTTTAGGTGCAGTTCAACCATGCACTGAATGAAAAGTATCAGCTCTGTGTCTTTTTCATGATGACCAGTGAGCATTCCTCGGGGTTGGGCTTGTCGTCTTTGCACTTTGAATAAGCATCAATGGTCATTTTGGAGTGTGATTTGTGGGGTTTATGTTTTGGTAAGGATTGTGGATCGGGGCAGAGGAGGCCTCTCACAACAGGGGGAACCAGCGATGGGGGGCATCCCTTGGTATAATTTGCAGTGGCTGCCTGCCTACTTGGATGTGAGATCTCATCTCTGGCTTTTTTTGTTCTGTTTTTGTTTTGGTTAATCGCCATCTTGGTCTCTTGGTGGCTCAGTGCAACCAGCATTTTGTTGTAGGCCTTGCTGCAGCTGCCTTGTTTTTGTATTTGCGCTCCATCCTTTACCTTGTGTCTATTTCACGTTCACCTAACCCTGGAGATGCCCATCTGCTCAGCAGCTGCAAAGCGTGTTATTTACTCTTTTCCTGCGGTGTCCTGTCTGTTATCTCAGGGAATATAGTTAAAAAAAAACTGTCACACTAAGTATGGATGGACCAGTTCAGGATTTCCTGCCATGCAGTCAAATGTGCCCTAAACCAGCACTTTGTGTGCCAGAAATATTGATCTGTCAATTTCATTCAATTCCTTTCAGTCTGTGTTAATAATATGCTTTGATTACGTTGGTCTTAGTACTTGGGACTCTAGCTCTAGCAAACTGCTCACTCCCAGTTAGACCTATAGTGTGAGGTGTAGAGCTGGGTGGGGATCGGTGACATTGGCTTTGGATGAAGTGAACTGTCAGTGCTGTCACTCTAGCTTCACACCCCCTTGTGGAATTGGACTTCTGACGTTTCAGGGACCCACCATTCCTGCGTTCCCACTTGCCTTTCCCTCCTACTTATGCTGCCATAGCCTTATCTGCCGGAGTTTACATATTGCACTGAACTAACTGTTTTCACTGTTTGCATGAGGAAGGTGAGAAACGTGGTAGCATTTAAAACAGCAATATTCCCTCAAAGTTTCCTCTATTTTTTTCTCTAGCCTCCCCTACTTTGACTAATTGCACATTTTATTTCCCCTACTACTCCTGGGCTGTGCTGCCTGGAGACCCCAAATTATCAAGATATTCTGCCTACCCTGCTGCCTGTAACATCTCCACTACCTGGCGTGTTTCCAGCCTGCTCGTCCTTCTGCCTGTGACGTCTCTCCTGTATGCCCTGCTGCTGTACCACTGTTCATCCTGCCACCTGATGCAGCACCAGCAACTGCCTGCCTCCCTGCTTTGAGGCTCAAATCTTAAAACTGGGACAGTGCAGACTTGGACTTTTCCATCCTGCTTATTTGACTTCCTCTGCCGCCTCCCTCTTCGAGTTTGTTTCCTCTCAAGGTATCTTCCTTCTAGGGAGTTTTTCCTTGCCACTGTGGTCTCTAGCTTGCTCACTGGGGGCTTTGGGCAGTGATATTGTAAAGTGCTTTAAGACAATTTAATGTTGTCAAAATGCACTATACAAATTGAATTTAAAATGGAATTAGTAGAAACTGTGTATTTTTATTACATCAGTTTAATGCAAGATGCATTAAACAGACTCATACACACATACGTGGAAGTGGAGACCTGACAAAGTTAAAGTTCAAGGTTTTGAGGATCCAGAAGACTTGATAGCTCTAGAAATGATTCAGATCACCGATGATTACACACTGCTCATAATCATTCGCACAAAAGGCTGATGATGAAGAAGTGGGTGCGATGAGTTTAATTCTGATTCATAATGCTTTTACAGAATGTTTTATGGATTCTTTGGATTGGTAGTGGGTACACTACTGTGAGAGGCTGGTCACTTTGATTCTGGAATGCAAGTTTGTCTCGGAGCAGCACTACCTCAGCAAAGAAGGCTATTCTAATTAGATATAAATGGGACTGGCTTTGCAGTGTGACATCATTCTGTGCATGAGGGGCAGGACAGGGCTGGCTTTTCCTAGATAATGCTTCTTAACAACATGTGCTGGAAGGGTAGGTATTAAACTCAGGGCGAGGTGGTTTAATGTTTCCTAAGAGAGTGATGACAAAAGGACGAAGGTAGACCACATCAGAGCTGGCCCTCATCTATCTCAGTTTACTTACAGTTAACAGTACTGACAGCCCAGAACTGTGTTATTCATGGTGGAGCAAAGGAGTAGTAACAGTGTGGACTACATACCCAAGTGTGAGCGAAAGACTCGATTGTGGGGGTGGGGGGGGGATCACAAATAAGTGAACTTCAATGTGGGTTATGGATCCCTGCATATACAAGCCAATCCTGATTACAGAACCTCGATTTAGAGGGGAAGTGACTCGCGTTCCACCCAGCAACCATCATTATGAGCAGGGGCTGGGTCTCTATGTTCCACCCACAAAGGATGTCTTACAGACATCTTTGTCAGCCTGACTGTGACACACCACACCAAACATACAGCCGGTAAACAGGAGAGTTAGTCATGCTGAATTGGAAGTGCAGGGACAGAAATGGCCGGGGGCTTTTGGGCACTCCTGTCTAACTGCCCTAACACCTTTTCAGGTTTCCATTGGCATAAAGCTTCCCAAATGAATAGTCTATTAAAATGGGACACTTTTATGTTCCTCTTATTACTCATCTTGCCATATTTAACTGGTATTCAAAACAGTTGACTTTTTAATTTCCTTTGGAATAAACATTGAAGAACTGCTGGTTGGTCTGGCTAGTTTGTTTCTGCAGAAAGGTCTGGGTAAACAGAGGGCGAGAATGCAGGGAGCAAGCTCTGACATGGCACGCTGTCCGAAGGGTTTGCACATTCCTACCGTCTGAGTGGATTCCTTTGGAAGATCCCACAGATCCTGTTTCTCCAGCCTACTGAGGAAAGTGTGTCTGTGAGCACATCTTTCAGTTACCTGCTGGCAAGTTGTATCTTGTGGGCAAACCCATCTGCACCATGACACTTGGCAGGAATGTAAAGTCATCCAGACAGTTATGCTTCACACAACCAAGGGAAAATATCAGTTATGCAGATTGTGGGAAAAGTTTTTTCTCTTGCAGGAAACAGTTTCCTTTAAAAAAATAGAAAGGCCTTTTGATATAAATGAAAATACCTATCACTGTAAAAAATTACACCATTTAAATATAATTCACATGTTTATTGAAATATGACATAAAAATCCATCTAATATTTAAAAATGTATGGTAAAAGATGGAATATACAAAGGAGTCTTTGCCTTGATGGAAGGACAAAAGAAGTTTCATCCATTGTTGTTGGTTTTAAGAAAACATATTAATGATTTTTTTTTTAAAAACATAGAATAACAATAATTAAAGAAAAAAATACTGTGAGGCTGACCAGAAACACTTCCAGGCTGCACAGGATCAGTCAAGTTCCTCAAAATTTGAAAGTTACACTTGGGAAAAACACATAAACCTTAATATTATGAGAGCATTTGAAAAGAATTTAAGGGGCATGTATTTGCATATTGGAAAACCGGGCTTTTGTTAAACGAACATTCTGTACTAGGCAGGTCAAAGTCTTTCAGATTAATTTGTTATTTTTCGTTTACGGCAACAGCCATTCACCACCTAGTGGTTAAAATGGGTCAACAACTGAACGTGTGCTTGCGATCTGCCTCACATGTAAGGCTCTGCTAAATAAACAAATGGAAATGTATTCCTGCCCTCTAGTGGTAGTATGAGTTTTTGATCATATGAAACCGAATGCGGCAAAACTGACAAAGGCTAAATAAGACTAGAATCTCGAAGGCAATGGTTTAAGTGAACCTGATAATATACAAATAAGCCGTTCAAATGTTAAACTGGCATTTTAATGGTTGACAATATAGCACCTGAAATTAAATATACATACTTCATTGAAATTACAGAGTACAAAGTATTAGAAATATAAAACAGGATTGTAAGCTGGTTCCGTGACTGCTAACTCGTTTAACCAAACGAGCAATTTCAGGCGCCAAGTAACTAGCGTGTATTATTTAGGTGGAGCGCAAACAAGAATTTTTTTGGCGGCGATCCGGTCTCACACACCTTAGCAAGGCGGGAGTGTAGTGATTTTCTGTGAAACTCGTTCGTGTTTAATTTTAGCAGGATTTTAAGTGACTGCTTTTATAATTTTCTAACTGCTTCTAAACTGAATGTTAAACTATTAGGTAAAACAAATCACCTTATTAACTGGACCTGCATAAAATTGTAGTTTTGACCAAAATGACAAAATAAACATTTAATGATCAGTAAGTCTCTACAGCAGCTATCAAAATGAAGCACTGTGGAGTCTCGGAAACCATTTCTACGTTATATTACATTATCAGTGTCACAGGGTTGCCAACTCTCACGCATCTGGCAAGTGAATCACGCATCGTGCTTTCATGGACACGCAAGAAATGTTAACGCTTATTCTATTATACACCTAAAATTAGCTACACCAAAAGCGCTAGGGTAGTTTGCAAACCCTACAGACCCTTACATTAGGGTAATTAAACTGTTACATACATGTAAATGCGTGTGCATGTGCGTGCGGACTTGTCTCACTCCATCTCACTCCAGCCAGCAGAACAACGTTGGCAACCCAGATGTCAACCTTTCACATAGCCGGGAGCATCTCGATCATTGTATTGTGTCTGTACTCTGGGTACAGCATTAATCTTGGACACCCTTTTGGTCAACTGTTCTTCAGAAGTATTCACAAATGCGAGCTCTGTAAGTGGCCAGACCACCCAAGTCAATGGAATATATTCAGAATTTTGCTAGTTGTCTTTGTGCTTCTTGATCTTGGTCCTTAGTGTCCATGTTAGTTTGAAATTTCAGTTTAAAATGATTTTTTCTTAATTTGGGATGGATGAGCTATTCATTGAATTAACTTTAATGTTTCAATTACATTAAATTAAACTGATAAACCATCTAAAGGACAAGGCTAAATACAAAAAGAATTACATAATGGATACTATTCACATTTGTTTGAACAGCAAAAACATTGGCTTGCAAGTTCCAAGATGTAGTAATGCTTGCCAAGCTGACAGTTATGATGAGTAAAAATTGCTCAGTAGTCAGTCACGTTTTGCTACTCAGATTGGTGAAAAGACCAGTGCTCCCAGTTTTGCGGGTTTAGCCCTTAAACCGTGTCATTCTGTGCAGTTCTCTCATTATTTAACTGCTTCACCAACAGGTTTATCCAACATGCAGGTGACCTGCTCGCACATTCGTAGAGTAAGATGATGACTGAATAACTGCCACTTAACACCATGTATCACCTTCTGGCCTCTCTGATGGCCCTCTTTTGATCCTCATAAGCCACCCTGGCCTCTTGGATAGCCCAGTGGAGAGCGCCTCCAGCAGGCAGAGTACTGTACGTCTCTTCTGTCATGTGCTCCACTTGCAGGCTCCGCCCAGGGCTATGCAGTGGCACCCGATGGAGGTGTGAGAAGAGAAGGGGCAGATCTTTCATCAGGGTGTAGTGGGCAGCCAGACCCAGCAACCCTGGAACGTCTGCGTCCCATGAGTATGTGAAGGTGGCCGTCAAGAACTTAGACAAGTCCCAGCCTTGGGCGGTAGCACGGCCTAGCTCCTCGCCGACCAGGCAGATGGCTGCCAGCGCTGCTGCAGCACCCTCTCCTGGATCTGCCTCTAGTCCCATCTGACCCCGATCAATTATCTGCTGCTGCAGCCCCTGGGAGCAGATCACCAGCACAAAATCGCTCTCTTGGATGCGTTGGCTATACCAGCTCATGCAGCCCTCTTCCATCAGGCTCAGAACCTCCCACAGGTCCAAGCTCACCTGTGAAAACCACATGAAATGCTGTTGACCAATCCATATAATCCCTGACCAGCCATGCTGAGCAACTTAGCTGGGCAAAAAAAAACATTAGTCACTCAGGATGTATTCAAAATCACTCACAATCGCCTAAACAGTAACCTACCTGGTGCTTCCCCTATTTTGTTATGTGTTTCGACCAGCAGCTATAAATCACTCCATAGTGCACTACAAAATATCCACAATGGGGATCCCTGCGAAGATCGAGGCTGACAATATTTCAGTTTTAAACAATACTATAACAAAACCATAAAAATAAAATGATAATATTTAAAATCCATATTTACTTTATCCCCATTATTGCATTTATGTTGTCACCGTATTTTCATATTCGCAAATGTCAGTTGTATGGTTGCTAGGATACCAATATATAGCATCTTGGAATGTTGTGTCCAAAACCATTTAATTTCAGTTTTAATGAATTACATAGGTTTTTAAACATTAGTAATAGTGAGTGAATGAGTGAACAAGTAAACCATTTCTAATGCAGCATCACACTACAGAACACTGTTATTCGATGCATCATTAACCATTTATACCTGGCAAAGACTTAGTACTTTTTGCTGTTATATTGCATGTTGTTTTTTGTGGTTGATTTTACCTGTACAGCCATATGCTGCTGAAGAAAGGCAGCCAATTCCATGACTACCCTGACATGGGCGGGACCATCGGTGCTGGAGTAGCAAATCAGGAGCTTAGGAGGTTGGGGCTTGCCAATCAACACCAGGCTGTGCTCTTCACTTGCAAGCTTGCTGCCAAATGGCTTGATTTTCTCTGAAACAGAAATCAGATAATAATAGGATACTAGGCAAATATGTTGTTTTTGTACACAGAAACTGTGAAGTACACATTCTAATACAGTATACATACAGCACTGTCACATAGTTGTTATGTACATATAATTAAAGCCACACATGGGCCTGGTTCTGATTTCACATGTGTTTCTGCCAGCAAAATGCTGATTATTAATGATGTACATAAATTAACAAGAAGCTGGTTTGTTTGTTTATTTGAGAGGTCTGTCTTTCTGCACGTTTCACTGGTCCTCTGTCAAACTAAACATTTAAGTGCATGGAAATAAAAAATGTGTTGCCTGCATTTTATGCACCATTTCTCACGCAGGTGCTGGCAGGATACCCATCTTGGGCCTTAAGTAATTATACACATGAGTAATTATATATACATAGATCAGTGAACCAAATTTTTATTTACATGGATCAGGGAATAATTTTCCCAATATTTGTAATTAATTAATGTTTATTTACTGTTTTATTCCTTACGGAATAAGTGGAAATGTGTTAAAGTAATAAATCCAATTGATGTACTGACTTTGGAAGGTTTAGGCTGATTGTTTCCCAAAAGCAGTCAAGGCCCAGATCCAAGGCCTACTAGCTGAGTGACTTGCAGAGGCTGAACCTCTCCGTCTGCCTGTACAGCACATTGCTGCTCCCTAGCAGAGTTACCTATCTCCCTCTGCCTCCTCTTCATCTTCCTCTTGCTAACCACAGTTATAGCTGCCGTCACAAAAACCACCACGATGGCAGCGAACAGGAGCACAGCAGGGATGATGGTCTCGGCCATAAATGGTCCATCATCTAGACAGCAGAGATTTAAATCACCACATTTCCATTATATATGCAAATCACACACCATACCAATAAAATCTCCGATTCATGGACATGAACTCTGGTATTCAACTTCAAACAGTACATGTATTGTGTACCCATAACATATGTATTTACTTCTATTTACTTTTGTCTGCCTTGTTTTCCTTTCCCAGTTTGAGTTCAAATGATGATGAACAAATTTCAGTGGGCTCACCTTGTTTTAGTGGTGAGACTCGAAAGGAGAATGTTTTCCTGATTGCATCCACCACATCTGCAGCAATCTTGAACCCCGGAATACACAATGAGAGAGTGTTAGCCTGCACAGCCATTCTCAGGCACTCCTTTTAAATTTATGGTCGATATCACACGTAGAGGAAGAAGAAAACGTTTTTATTAAATACGCAAACTACAGGTTCAAGTAGAGAAGCCAGAAAGTACAGTTATTTTGAATAAATGCTACCATCTAGTGGTAGTTTGGAAACACAGCTCTTAACTTTTTTCAATGGTTGAATTTTGTGTGAATGCCATGAGAAATGCTTAAAATGCTCAAATAAATCTAGTGTCAATGTGGATTGAGAAATACTGTTATACCTCATGTAGCATTTATCTCACCAAAACAATTTTAACTTGCTTGAACGTAATGTGATGATAGTCCTTCAAAGGTTATAGTTAGGTTGTTCAAGAGACTAAAGTTCTTAAATCATCAGTCCCACAAAGACTCCACTAAAGTTCATAGTCTTATTGATTTAAAGTGCTCAGTCAAACCGAAGTAACCTGATGTACTGAATTTTGACCATGGCTTTGTATTAAAACCTGGTTCTAAAGAGTCACACTAAAGCACCTAAATGAAGTCCCACTTAAAGGTTCAGTCTCAGAAAATTCCGACCAAAATATCCACCTTCCAGAGATCAAAGCAGTGAGATACACCCAGGTCCCAAAATGACTTGTGCCTCATGCCTTGTGTTCTCATTTCCATAAGGTTCCTGAAGTGTCACTGATGTTCCTGTCATGCATGGAAAGCAGTAGCACTCTGACATTCTGGTTTGACATACGAGCTGTTTCAGGAGAGATCCTGCCCATCCCTTTGTCAAGTTCTGTGCAATTTTATCATAACTTGCTAGATGCAGTCTAGTATGTTTGTCTGTGTAACCTGAGCTTAGGACATGATTCTCTTTGAAAAAGAGAATTTTAATAATTTTCATGTACCTATACAAAATGTACTAGAAGGTTATGCTATTTCCTTCTTAGAAAAACAAAATGAGGGCACTCTAAATGATTACTGTGCATTTACTATTATATTCCCACAATGACCATATACATATAAAATTTATGAAAAACTTCCAATTAGCACCAAGATTAACTCCAAATCAAAATAAGGGTGATGTGTAGTGTCCTATCAAATCTCTGCATTTTACATATCTTGTAGCACTAACTTTATTTTTATTAGCCTGACTTCTAATACTATTTAGAGTACACAGAACACAAAATTTCAACTCCATGAAACAAACATATATTCATTATCACCGCTTATCCCAGTCTGGCTCACAGGACTAATAATCGTGATTAGGCAAAATCTGACACCCATGTGTCTGACATGTCAATATTACAGTATTCATCTGTAAACTGTATATAAGAAACAAACTCACTTCACACGAGTAGTTGGTTCCAGCCTGGAGGCCAAGCAGATGGTAACTGTGGTGTGTTTTGTTGCTTGAGGGATTCTGTGGGGAGACGATCAAATTCTTAGTATATAGTATAGAAGTGGTTCATAAGAAATTTTGGTTAGTTATAATAATATATAATAACATATATTAGAGTTTTATGTGACTGCAGGTGCCACCTTTGCAATTAGTTTGTGAAGTTTCTTCCTTGCTAGATATTCCATGGTCAACTGTAAGTGGTATTTTTGCAAAGTGAAAGTGTTTAGGAACAACAAAAACTCAGCAATGAAGTGGCAGAGCAGGGTTGCCGAGTTCTGAGGAACATTGCCCGTAAAAGTCGCCAGTGTTCTGTAGGCTCAATAACTGTTCTCAACTTCCTCTGGAATTAACCCCTGCACAAAACCTGTGCACTGGGAGTTTCACGGGATGTGCTTCCATGGCTAAGCAGCTGCATGCAAGTGTCACATCACCAAGTGCAATGCCAAGCAGAGTGGTGTAAAGTTCACCGCCACTGTACTCTGGAGTGGTGGAAATATGTTCTGTGAAGTGATAAATCACACTTCTCTGTCTGGCAGTCTGATGGATGATTCTGGGTTTGGTGGATGCCAAGAGAATGTTACCTACTGACAGCAATGTGCCAACTTTAAAGTTTGGCAAAGAAGGGATAATGGTATGGGGTTGTTTTTTAGGGGTGGGGTTAGGGCGCTTAGTTCCAGTGAAGGGAACGCTTAGTGCTTCAGCATCAAGACATTTTGGACAATTCTATGCTTCCAACTTTGTGGGAACAGTTAGGGCCCTTTTCTGTTCCAGCATGACTGTGTCCCAGTGCACAAAGCAAGGTCCTTAAACACATGGTTGGATAAGTTTGGTGTGGAAGAACTGGCCTGGGCAGAGCCCTGACCTCAATGTCACCAAATAAATTTGGGATGAACTAGAATGCAGATTGTGAGCCATGCCTTCATGTCCAACATCAGTGTCTGACCTCAGAAATGCTTCTTCTGAATGAATGGGCAAAAATTCCTACAGACACATCCCGAAATCCTGTGGAAAGCCTTCCCAGAAGAGTGGCAGCTGCCAAGTCAATATTCATGCCTATGACTATGGATTTAGAATGGAATGTCATACAAGTTCCTGTAGGTGTAATGGGCAAGTATCCCAATACTTTAGTCAATATAGTGTATTTGTGCTGGGTCACATTACAATGTACTTGCTCTTCTCTAATGTTACTTTTCAAAACTGGAAGTCACACTAAAGCAAGTAGACCAAGTCCCACTAAAATGTCCAGAGATCAAAGAACCCAGTCACACTGAGGTCCCAAAATATCTAGTGTCACATGTCTCACTGAACACATTTTCATACTCAGTATCTACAGGACAGCTAATTACCCTCCCCATAGCCAGAGATCATTAATGGTGTGTTTTTCATCTGTAATCGCAGCTCTTGAAGTGCTTTCCCACCACAGGAATTTGTTCAGGAACTAGAACCTTTTTCAGGTACCACCGCAGATACTCGACCTGTTGTTCCTCAGAGGTAGAACAGGTCTGATTGCTGATTACATGCTGATTATATCGCGTTGCTGCACCCACCACACGACAAACCACCTCAGGGATGAGAACCTGAATGCAGCCATGCAGTGGGTGATACCTCAGCACCACACTAGTCCAAATGGAACAGTGTGAGTTTTTCCTGGTGGCTGGAGTGCCAATCCTGCCACCAACCTTCAAATTTCCCTGTAAGTTGGAGGACCTGCTTGCAGGGCTGAATGTAGAGTTATATCATACCCAGGATACAGCAACTGCAGGTTAAGGGCCTTGCTCAAGGGTCCAACAGAGTAGGATCGCTCCTGGCATTCACGGGATTCAAACCAGCAACCTTCAGATTGCTAGCACAGATCCCTAGCCTCAGAGCGACCAATCCATCCACAAATTAATAAAACATGGCTACAATTAAACTAAAATGTGGGAAAAAATTAATAAAACATGACCACATTTTATTATATTGCGGGAACGAATTAGTAAAATGCGGCCACGATTTACACAATGTGGGAACTAATTAGTAAAATGTGGCCACAATATATATAATTTTTATCTTTATGTCATGTATCCTAACGTACTACATAATAAATACATTATATATAGTGCCTTGCAGCCCCTGAGTTGAGTGAAACAGACATACTGAGCTACATCTGTCCTTGCACTGGATTGATCAAACAAGCTGACCATTCATGAGGTTGAATGAATCAGACGCACTGATCTATGCCAGTTCTTGAGCTGAACTGCTCAAACATGGTGACAAGCACCTTGCAGCCCCAGAGTTCAATGAATCATGCACACTGAACTATGTCTGTCCCTGAGCTGACCTGCTCAAACATGCTGACAGCCTGTAGCAATCGTGCAGTCCCTAAGTCACGATAAACTGGTTTAATACTGTGTCTGTAGGTAACACTTGCAGTTTTTCTCAATTAAGCACATTTTCTGAAACAGTTCAAAGTTTCAAAACTTCAAATGCAGTCAGCATATGTTTATGACCTAAAACCTAAATTTCACGTACAACAGACCATAATTTACTCAAAATTCAAACTCGTGTTTCAAAGTCACATAACTCTATCAATGAATATGTCGTTTCCCTTCATGGTTCGAACCCAATACACGCCTTTGGCATAAATGTTTCAGAACTGGCAGTTCTGACTGAATGCTAAAGTTTACATGCGATTGATTGCTGTGTAACGTGAGAAAATGAACTTATGAGTAAGTCGCAAAATTTCAGTTTCTTTGACACCACAACAGTGCCAGATGACTGCAATTTATACAATACAGATTTTAACAGTTAGTCATTGTTGACTGGAGTATTTTGCCTGTTAACATTTACACTTACATTTATGTTGATATATACATGTGAAAGTAACAAAATGTATCAGAAAAACAATGTAATCAATTTTGGTGAGGTTTACTCAATGTACTCCTGGACTAATCACAGACAATTGAATTTATACAGTGAAAAATGCTTAAAATATAAATGCAATGTTGATGTGCAGGTTTAAACATAATGCTCGCACATGTTTGTTTGAGAATTGTGCTTCAGCAATGGAGAAAAACTGTAACAATATTAATGAAAAGTAAGGAAAGTCTATCCCCTCCAACCACAACAAGCAGTTGATGGATGGGCAATTTCTGTACTACCTATTTTTATATGCTAGATTTTTCTGCACAATGTAATTTAGTAAACAAAAAAACTGTCAATATTCATTCAGTCTGAAAGTACTGGCACTGTCAGAATTCTTATGTGACATCAATGAACAGAGAGACTTTGCAAGAGAACAGGTCTGCAGGGTATCCAAACACTAGGTATAACACAATTGTTATGTTCATGTGGTAAATGATCTTAATGGTTTCTATGCGGTAAATGTTTTTGAAATCAATACATTGAGGATATGAACAAAGGATATTTGTGTAAGACCTGCCAAATGTCTTAGATTATTGAAATACCTTTTTCATGAAGTCTTTTATTTATTGTAAACACCCTAGTTTGTAGCACAGAGACCTGCCCTCCTCTACTATTGCTGAAAAACAGTGGAGATCATTGATTCCCTACTGGGTAATGTAATAAACTAAGGACAATGTTGCAATGATGAGTGTGAAAATGATGCTAAATGATCAAATTTTATGAACATTCTGTGACTCAGATTTGTCTCAGAATTGTGTTCATTGCTTCATATTTTATATATTTAATTTTATAATGAGGACTGTATTGAGAAACACTGTATGACATTCAAAGCATTCCAAGCCCTTGGACATATTCAATCCTCAAGACCATCCAAAGACTCTCTCTGCAAATGGAACCTTTTGATTCTGAAATGAATCCTGATTTTTTTTCCTTAGTACTTCCCAATACCCCTTGGTAAACTTTTACTCACAGTTTTGATCTCTGTGTAGTTGCGCATGCCCCCACCATAGCACCATGAAAAATAATGGCTGATTCCCAGATGTGGAGGAGCGAGGTTAAAGGTTACAACAATGTCAAGTCCCTCTTGACGCAATTCAACATTCTCTGGGTACCAGTCTAGGAAGAGAGAGAGAGGGGGAAAAAAAACAATCTTTTAACACCCTGCAGAAAGTCTAGTGCAGTGTTTCTCAACCCAGTCATCAGCGAACCCCAGCCAGTCCACGTTTTTGCTCCCTCCCAGCTCCCAGCCAATCAGGAACACCGAATAGCTGGTACAGGTGCGCTGGGAGCTGGGAGGGAGCAAAAACGTGGACTGGCTGGGGTTCGCTGAGGACTGGGTTGAGAAACACTGGTCTAGTGCTTTCTATTCTTATTGCATATAATTTATTTTCACAGAATACATTCTTTTTATCTTTAAATGTTTATTTATTTTGAATGTCACAATATTCTGTTTGTTACTTTGGTCGCACCAAAGACATAGGTTTTCTTTCATTGTTGGTAGGGAATTTGTCATGAGCCCCCTGCCCCCCTAAAGAGACACAGTACTCCCACAATATTGGTAGGGACATGACCCTACCATCCCTCCCCAAATCTACACCCTTGGTTTGCACTATGTGTTCTGTCTTTGCACCTTATCTGTTTGGTATTATATGCATCATCTATCATTCATCTGTGCACTATGTTCTTACAGCTGTATGCATCAGGTGGAGCCTGTTGGAACACAGGACGGGCTGCATGGTAGAATAAAGACTAGTTCATATTTCACTTATCCCTCTGCTGTTATGGTCTGCACACGGTTGAGCACACAGACTCTTGTGTATCTACTACATTTGTCTGCGCATGCAGACGGTCGTGATCAGTACATAAGAGCAGCAGTGTTATTCTACCAGACCAGCAGATTCCAACTACTGGAAACACCTAGTAATGTAATGTCAATTTACATGCACGTTGACACGCAAAAAGTCCTTTATACTCTAGATCAGGGCTGCAAGTGCATCCTCCACGTGGACACTTTGGATGACAAAATTTAAGTCATGCGCATGGTGCGCGGATCATAATGGCACGTGGACAAGGGAAGTATGGTCTAGACTTAAGGCAAAATAGCTTTAGTAGGACATATCCAGACTACCTTGGTTATGCTCCTCCCTAATGAGAAAGATTCCAAAAAAGTGTCTGAAACCCATGTACAACACAAACCTGTCTGTCAGGAGCTGAAGAGCAGAATATAATTAAATTAGGAGAAGTTTTACCTGGAGTTTGGCAGGTTTTGTAAGACAGGCCAACATAATATTGTAACACACTCAAAATAAGTTAAAATCCTAAGCAGTCTATGGGGTATTTAGGATTAAAGACAAAGCTTTAAGTCTTTGGAGATATAAATAAATACTGATAACTGTAAATTTATCAGCTTATGAGATCTTCCGATCTTCTTTAAGGTTTTCAAGTCGTATATTTAATAAAATAACAGTGATTATGGGTTTGACTCCAGTTTCTCAAGATGCAATCCCTTATTATACATGCATATGGATTTGATACATATAAGTGATTTTAGTGACAGCTTGACAATGGCCCTTCCCTTTCTCACACTCACCCCTCTGGCATTGCTCCAAGCCATTCTTCTCTGGGCATGCTGGGGAAGACAGTATAACAGATATTAGCTGTCTATGTAATCTTTTATGTAGGACAGGACTAATGTATTGTTGATCAATGCGAGGTTGATGATAGGCAAATACGCAGAAAGTTTGGGTAGAAATGTAGCGGTCAACACGTGAAATGTTTTACTGTCACTTGTAGTAATGCTGTATGTGTGTAACTGTAAGATAACATTTAAAGTTATTATATAGTGCAGACCAGCTCACCAGCAATACACAGTAATCTTGGATAACAGAAGGTGGAACACAGCTAAGAGTCCTTGCTAGCCTGTGGGATTTGTAATGCTGGTGCTAAGACGTGCTGGAAAATTTAAGAAATCAGAGGTCCAGTAAGAACCAAAGCTTACTGCGTGTAGAGAAGTGCACACTCTGGTAGAATTTGTCCCAAAGCTCTGGAACAGGAAGAGCCATGACAGTAACGACAAACTGGGAAGCCAGGGGTAACTGGGAGATGGGATCAGACTGGTACACCTGAGCAAATAAAACAGTATAAGGCAGTTAGCGGCAGAGCTACGTAACAACTGTTTGAGAGTTTTCGTTTAGACGTTGCAAAGGAGATTTGCTGAACCTAGAGCAACATGGGAGATGAGCATAAAATTATTTTGTTGTTTTGATATGCTGGATAACATACCTAATATTCAATAAGCCTAGATTAGGGGTATTCAATTATTTTTCACAGAGATTCAAATTCCATCCGTGACACAAACCCGAGGTCCGTGGGGGAGCCCCCTCAGTCAATGTTGCCAACTGGGAGGGGTTCCATCAATTACGTGCTCCAGATCTAATTGCGTTTTGGTTGGGATGCAGACTAGTGTCCACTATTTCAGTACCCCTGGTCTAGATGTATATCACAGTCAACGCTGCTATTGTTACCAGAATTCAAGCCAAAATCAAACAAAGAGATAATGGTCAGAATCGAGTTGAAGTTTAAGGCAAGTACAACACTTATTGTAAGGTGCCACAGAGTTTAAGGAACCAAGATTGCTGGTTCAAACGCAAATCGTACTCAGTGAGGAAATGTGGAAAATGAAGAGCCATGCAGGCAATAGCTGACTGACCCTCTCAGTGTGGCTGGCAGACAGAGAGAGGTTTCGCTGGAACAGAAACAGCTGGCACTCCACGTGAGCCCCTCCCAGAGCTTGCAGCGACACCTGGAAGCCCCGAAGAAAGGCAATACCTGAAACACAACCACACAAATGTAATGGTGACTAAGGACTTGTACTGTAGGATGTTGGTTTGAATGCCAGGATTCTGTGCTGAACTAGTACTAGTTATTTGCTGTTAAACTGTATATTTGGAGAATTATAAATGTCTTTTGATAAAAAAAAAGTGTGCTAAGCAACTGAAACATATAAAACATAATGCGAGTGGAATTGCTTTTGAGTGTAAATAGAGTAAAATCATCACATTCACACAGTCAAGTTACTTGGACTAATGAAGAAAAAGGGTATATGAGCATGGTCATGGTAGTACAGCTACTGGAAATTTACATGCCGTTGCCAGCATCTGTAAATGTTCTTACATAGTTTTTGTGGAAATGCACAAAAACTAAAAATACACAACACAAGGTGGTGAAACATTCACAGTATATTTTATTTTCATGGCTTGTCAGTAATTAATTTGTCGCCCGTGGTCTTAGGTGAACAGGATGTGCAGAAAGTTAATCCATCAGTTATAATTCAAGTTAGCATGAAGCAACCTGGACTGAAACATGAGACTCTGGAAAGTTATAATTACCAGGGAAGGTTGGTAACAATTTATTTGATCTCTTTATTGTCATAATACTATAATAAAGAGGTAAGTAAACCATATTAGAACATGTCATAACAGTTAACGGTGAGCATTACATTACCAAAAAAAAGTGAACTGATACAGTGAAATATTACTGGAGAAAATCTCATACTTCTTAACTGATCATGATTGCTGACACAGGTGTTATTTACCAGCATAGGTGGCCTGTTTGCTCAAGGCTACTACAACAGGATCCACAACCGCTACAACCCACCACTTCATTAATGAATTACTTTATTCTCGTCAAATGTCATTTACAAAGCATGCCCAACATCATAAATATTCATCTCCAACATTATTGTCTGCTACCTCATTTAATTCACGATTACCTGAAAACCAATACTGCTATGTTAGAATCGTAGGAACATTAACATCATCTCTTTGAATGATTGGATGCCCCCACCCCATTAGCTTCTATGATGGCCAAGTTAAAGACCGTTGGGGGTTTTAATAAACAAGGGTAGTTGAGGCAGAGGCCCCTGGCCATTAGCCCAGGTAAGCCCGTGCATTAGCGCACCCCTGGCAAGATTCCATGATATTTAAATAGATAAACAGAAACAACCCCAGTGCACACCGTTGATTACACTTGGCCAACTGAAGATAATGACAAAACAGGCCTCTGGCTTCTAGGCTGTCACAATAATCCAGAGCTGAATTTTTCCCATTTTTGTAGGCTCTGAAAAAAGGCAATTTAGATTGCGGAAAACTTAGATAAAGAGTTTGAATCCGAGCCAGGAGTAGGTGAGAAGCGGGAAGCCATCACAGTTACCGTATATACTGGGTCTCCAGGAGATGATGACTGTGTCATACGTGGGATTCTGATTGGTCATAAACTCCACAGTGACATTGATGGGCGCATGGACGTAATGCTGGCATGGGTCAGAGCCCTGTGGTGTGGCGAGGTAGGAGAGACAGGGGAGGGGCACACAGCCTGCACCATATGGAGAAAGGCAGACAAAACTCAAAATTTACATGCATGTATTACACTAATTCACATACAACAGTCTGGAGCTCTGATTTAATCATTGTTTTACTAATACAGACATAAATATAATATCAGAAATGGTAAATGAGACAAAGGGGTACCATTCCCTCAGAATTACTTTTGGTTTTAGCTTGCTGTGGTATGTGCTTCATTATTCTGTGGTTGATGTTATTGCTGGTAGAATCCAATTATTATATTAGTTTTTTGCAGATGCTGATAGAAATCAAGTTCGCTTATAATGTTCTTTCCCAGCATTCTCTCTACCTGGGAAAGGCCGACCTTGCCATGCAGTCAGTACTCCCAACTTACTGCCAAACATCTGAGCCGTGGTGATTCCTAAGGTCATTTTAACATCTCCTCTGGTGATCCTGCAGTATTCACAAGCTGAGTCTCCCTACGGCACAGAAGTCAATGCTGTAAGGTCCCGGCACAAAGTTTTAATATTTTAATATTTAAAATATTTTATAACATTAATTCACAAGCAGCATGCAAGTATACCTTAACATCCTAGCGTACCTTAACAGCGTTAATATACATTAATAACAAACCTTATATTATTATACGATTATAATGTTCGTTCGTTATGTATATTACAGCTGTCATGTCTTGTTCATTGAAAGTATTATAAGTGCAATGCTTTAAGACATGTTACGGTCATACTACTGACGAACTTTCTATTAATGCGTTATAAATGCATTATGTAGGTGCACTTAGTGTTCTACGAATGGATAATGAAAGCATTAGGAAGGTGCAGTTAAGTTAAAGCAACATCAGATTTATAATATGTAAAACTGTTTAAAGTAACTAGATAATGTATGGTTACGGTACTGACAACCGAGTCTTTTTTCTCCTGAGTAGATCGAAACTTCTTTCTGAAGAAGGATGTGAAAAACTAACACTTCTATCCTTACTCACTTCAGTTCAAGCATTATCTCCCATGTTTTTGTGAGATTACTCTGGGTCCTCTTGTCCTCGGTCATCGTAATTGGCTCTATTTTCACGATCCATGGCAAAGTGCGAAGCGCAACTAACATTTATGGGTGTGTTCAAATGCATTTCGCTATTTAAAAGGCGGAAAAAACAGACTTCGCGCCAGCGCAAGGTGCAAATAAGTTGTCCTCTCTTAATTATTCAGGCGTGTTTTGGGTTTAACGTGCAATGAACCAATCGGAATGGCGCGTCACCTCACCTTTAAAAGACAGCGGCGCATTATCTATTGCGGATTGCAATTTTTTTGTGATATTTACGGTAAATTCAGGGGATGTCAGACATATAAATATAAAATATGAACATTATTTTAATATTATAACATTTACAGTGCCAGTCATAGAGTCTAGAAACACCTACCCATAGTAAGGTTTATTTGTACTATTCTCTACATTTTATTATAATTATTGAGCTATTTAAAGTTTAAAATAATGTCTCTGCTGAAAAAGCAGCATAGACCGTCATAGCTGTTTACCATGCAGCAAAGTCAGCGCAATGTTTGTTGATTATACAAGCATACATCATGTTTTGGTGCTGGTGGACCACCATTGTTAATGAAATATTGCTGGTGGACCAGCTTCATTTGTAGGTAGACCAACACAGCTACTGTATGTTGGTCAAGCAGGTACACCAGGACCCCACCAGCATAGACCATAAATATATATACATGCACACACGCAATGATGCTGCCTACAAAGGAGAGTGATGTCACATCACATGACCTGGCCACCTGATCTAAACTTAGTAGAAATGGTTTTGGAGGAATTTAATCAGAGAGTGAAGGCAAAGTGCTCAGCATATATATGCGGGACCTCCTTAAGTACAGCTGGAAAAGTATCCCAGGAGGCCACCACATGAAACTGGCATAGAGCAGACAGTAGGTTCAGCCAAGCCCTGGGGCAGTTGGGGTTAAGGGTCTTGCTCAATGCCCCAATGGTGAGATCACTCTGCCGTTCACAGGATTTGAACCGACAATATTCTGATTCCCAAGCCACATATCGAGCTGCCCCACCCCACTCAACAAATTATTTTTTAAATGCTTTTTTGGTCAGTGCATCCAAACGTCCTTTCAATTACAGTATATGCTTAATTCTGATAATGAACTCAAAAGATTTTTTAATGATACCGTCTGTTCTTTACTTAATATATATTGTAGTAGCTGGAGGACTAAAGGTTTATTATAGGGCAGTCCTGCCCCCCTTTTCAGTCAGTCTCTGGGGTTTCAGAGATAGTGGAATGGGAGTACCTGCGGAGTAGGTTAAGGAGAAGTGGCGGGCTCCGCACAACCCTGTATATACTGGGGAGGAATCGGGTCGGTGGGAATTAACCGTCAGTGTTTGATGTACTTCATTATTTGAGTTTGGCGTGGGCTCCGCCCATACAGGGTCCATTAAAGTATTTTTTTGTGGTACGCCCTGTCGCGAGTTCATTACTATACATTTTCTTTTAGTGTTTCACGAAACACTAAAATGATGTTACTGATACCTTAAAGTAATAAACCCGGGGACAATGCACCCGGCCATGCCTCATTTAAAAAACACCAGTCCTACGACATGTGCACATCAAGTTCAAGTTACTTTATCGGTACCCGAAGGTAAATTTTGTTTGCAGTACAGAGTCCACACACAAACCCAAGTAGAAGAAACAAAAAACACATATCACACATCGCTCATCATACCACAATAAACAGACCACATGGAGTGAAAATGAGCAATGTGCTGGTATGAAACCATGAAAACCACTTTCTGTTGTGCTTTGCTCCGGTGGAAAAGAGAACCCAATATGTTTAAGGTGGATTGTGTCTAAAGCTGTTCAATGGTGCGCAATATCCTTCCCACCCATATGCCCCCTGCCCTGCGTCTCCTTATACAAAAACACAGGAATAGGTTTGACAAAGCTGGAGTGCAATCATGGATTACAAAAGGTACCATAGAAAGGCCTCTTCTCCCATCTCCCACCCCACCCCCACTGATGTACAAATAGAATCTGAAGGAAGCAGGGAAGAAGTGGTTATTTTAAATGGAACCATTTACAGAATTATCAGGAAATTAAAAATTGTGTCAGTGCAGACACTTTATCATGAAGATGCAAATGTAGAAAATCTCAGTGTGTGCTAAAACTTTTGAATGGTGGTGTACATTGGAATACGACTGTATTAGTCATTTTCTAAATCCTGTCTCTGTCCATGGTGCAGTGATATGAGTAATAGCTACAAGCCTTGGTGCAAAACTCTCAGCAAGGCGTATGTAAGATTCAATGAGATCCTGTCTGTTTTCAGGGAGCAGAGATACTGAATGACAGAAAACTGAATGACACCCTAACCCATTAAAAGATGCCAATTTGCTGAAAATAAAAAAATTAACTAATTATGGAGTTTGCATTAATTTTCAAAGTGACATGAAAACAAACATTTTAAAGTAATCAACAGACATAGAGTTTGAGAGGTAGGATTTCTTTGATTTGAGAAATGAAGTAGTGAATCTCTGCTGTATTTGGTGAGGAAGCAACCACCTGATCTTGTCACCACATTCATATTAGGATCCCTGAGGGGGTGCAGTGATTACACGGCATCTGTGGTAGACAGTAAATTAAAGTGAGATAGAAAGATCACACTTCTTCCTTGGTAACCATGGATCTGAGCTCTAGAGAGGCAGGTGAGGCATGAGGGTGTGACTATCTATTGGAAGGGGAGTCAGGTGACAGGGTGTGTTATGCCGATTCAATCCACCTGTTCGTTGTTTTATGATGTCATTACTGTATAATGCCAATATAAGCTTAACCACTTGTCCACCCGCACCCTGCTCTTTCATTTGCCCCACATCCTTTTTCTTTCTCACTGAACCAGTGTTTTCTCTTGGGTCACTTCTATTTTGCTAGCCTTAAATCTATTAATGCCCCATTTCTCTAAACAAATTAAAACCAGTTCCTTTGTTCAAATCTCAAAGTCACATACAAATATATTTGAAACATACTTGACACAGAATTTGTCACATAACTAAGATTACATTTAAGCAATTCCGGACAAGGAGAAAACTAGCCTTCGTCCATTGTTAACCATTAAATAAAAAGGGCATTTTCTGAGGAAGAGGATGACAAAACTTCGGGGCAAGGATGATCAGTTTGAGTGTTAATAACACAGTCAAGACCACCACTAAAAGCTTAATAACCAAGCCGTCAGGAAGGAGATCTCACCAGATGATTATAATTAATGTCATGGAGATTGCTTGCTGTGTGTTGAGAGACTGTGTGTGGCTGTACAATGAAGACTCCAGAGATGAGGTCTGTTCGTCACTGATATGTCTTTTTGGACAAATGCATCTGCTAAGTAAATAAAATGTAAAAACTGATTTTACTGGCATGTTTGCCAATGTTAGTGCATGTGACCCATCTTGGACATGACTGCCTTTGCCAAGTGCAAACCTTTTTTTCCACATTTTTTTCACATTTTAGTGTGTATATGCCAGCCAATGAGGAGAATGAATATCTTATGATTGAGTATCCTCTATCAAAACGTCACCTTTTTAACACACCATCAACTGTGTAGTGAGTGACACAAAGGTTGTAGGAAGAGCTCCTTTTGGTTATTTTCACATCTGTAATTTGTTTGTGCTGAGTTTGAAGCAGTCAGCACCTTTTTAGTAATTTGTTCAGGGGATAATAATAGTGATGCATGAGTTTTTTTTAAAAACCTACTTCAAACCTACTTCACAAAACACTTCTGTTTCTCGAGATGGTTTCTCCATATCTCTGCAACAGCAGCTTCCCCCATTGAAACTTACATTTGCACCATATGTTTGACTAAACAAGAGGGAATTCTTACATAAGTACACATTAAATGCCACATTACCATGTAAAACGGCCATTTCAGTTGCCATGTGGCAAAAGCTAAAAACAAATTTTGACATCACTAAGATGTTGTGTGTTTATATTCTGAAATATAAACCCTCAAAATCAAACACACATACAGGGCAGGCTTGCACAAGGACTAGATAAACCTGTCGGCGAGTTATGTGCCAGAGACGTGCATAAACACAAGCAGTCACGTGATGGAAGGGGCTCCACCAATGCTACCTCAGCAGTCTCTTGGATCTTTCCTGGGAAAAGTATTGTTTTTTTAAAAGTGAAAAAGTTCTATTTTCCTGACCTTTTTAAAATAATAATAATAATAATAATAATAATAATAATTGGACATTAAGGTCTGTTGTTTTCTGAATCTTTCCTGTCCAAAAGTACTGTTCATGATAAGACAGATTTCTGTAACCGGGATTTACAGTCTATTTCATAATTTCTTTATGTTCGTCCATCGTTTCTAATTCAGGATTGCAGTAAGTCTGGAGCCTCTTTTATTGTTACCTAAAGTCAGGGCTGAACTGGGATTACAAACTGCCCCCCCCCCCCTATATACAAATTTAATTGAGCGGGAGATATTGGTCACTGAGAAGATGCCCATGGCCAGTTCAGCCCTGCCCCAAGTCACTGTATTGTGTCACCCGTCAATCAGAGCAGAAAGCTTTGCTTGAGGCAGTGTTGTTGTTCTTGGACTGTGAGACACTGAGCTCCACCCTTCTCTTTTGGAGTCTGGTTTCTGTGTTTTTGGTTTTGCTTCTGTAATCAGTGTATTTGGTTTTGTCTCCAAGTCCCATTTTCTTGGTCCTGTCCCCAGGATCATGAAGCATTTGCACTTGAGTCATCTGCCTTCACACTTTGTAGGGTCCAGGCAGTCGTTCCTGGTTCTAGAAGGTACCATTTTCCTGCACTGTTCTGCGCAAACAGGGACCCCTGGAGTGAAAACCTGGCCTTCTGGACAGGACAGATCAGTTCAGGATGCAATTTGTCAAATTAAACCTCCAATCTGTGAGTATGGAGCTTTCATTTTCTCCCAGTGTTGTGCAGATTTCCTCCTGGGGTCATGCAGTTATTTGGCAATTCAAAAATTGCCCTAACCCTGTCTTGACGGACAAGTGGTTGGACAATCAGTGCCATATTTCATATGTCATATGTAAGAAAAACTTAGAAGAAGAGCTGGAAAGAGCAGCAAAGCAAATAGCTTTGAAATCCTAGAAACGTACATCCAAGAAATTCCCCAATCCACACCCTCATCTATGATTATTCAGCTGCTTGAAAACTATTTCTTTTTAAAAGGTCCTGGCTTGGATCCTTCATGTCTGTTTTTGCAAATAGAACTCCCTATGATGGCATGCGGCTCAGTAACTGTACCCTGCAATCAATTCTTTTTCTGTGATCTAGTTGCCGTTTTGCTGATAATAAGAATCAGGAGGAATTAACAATAGGACAGGTATCCTGTACACTTAGAAAAATTCACTTCAAACAGCATGCTCACCTCCTTAGAATCTGTGAATGCAAAATACAAAGAGCATTTGCTGGTTCTTTCAAGCCCAAAGCTCACACGCTTCTCTCTTTCCCCTCACGTTATTGCCCGGATGATATCAGTTATGCGCTCAGCAAGTATGACAGATTCTTTGTTTCGTAATGAGCATGTAATTATTTGCATGGGTGGAGACTGTGTGAGCTGGCAACAGTCAAGCAAAGATAAGGCAGCAGCTTTCATCTAAGGCTTCCATGACCCCAGAGACAAGATCATCGCAAAGGTACAGCTCTCTCACTCATAAGCATCAATGTATGAACTCGTACCACCTGTACAGTAACTAACAAAGAAAGCCTAGCATTTTACACCAGGCACCACTGAGCTGTTAGCAATTTAAGCCATTAGGAACTAGTACTAAAGAGGAGCCTTAAACCTACTATTTATGAGAAATGGGCATTACAGACTGAGTGATGGGTGAATGATGGCTATAGTAAAGAGACTAAGTAGCAGAATGAGTGCTTCAGAAAGAGCAGGATGTGTGTGTGCACACACGTGTGCTTGTGTGCGCGAGGCCCCAGGCGAGTGGAATGTGGGGCAGCGAAGCAGGCTTTACCTTAAGGATGCAATCCAAGGAGCAGTTCTGAGGCGAGAAGACCCTGCGGTCACCATGAAACCCGGCGGTCCCGTGGAGCGATGAGACCTGGCAGAGGGCCAGCAGGGCTATCCACATGCTGTGCCTGTATGAGGACAGATCCCCACCGCTGACCTCGGCCCCCCACTGCTGACCTCACGCCCCCCCAGCAGCCGCAGCCGAGCTCCAAACGCACTGCAAATGGAGCCTGATAGCAACACTCTGAAAAGACAGGTGTCTATTCAAGTGTGATACCGGAAAGAGAGAGAGGGCGGTGGGGGGGCGGGGCGCCCTTGGGCAAACAGTGCACTCTCACACCCTCACAGCCTCCACACAAACACATACCGCGCATCAGGCCCCCCCCGCGTAAGTTTACCATTACCGAAAAAGAAAAAAAAAACCATTTGCACACATTGAGAATCGTGGCACGTCTCAGACGCATTCTGTTCGTAAGACGGCTGCTGCATTCCATTTGCCCCATTCAGGTTGTTTCACTACACCCTGGTGCATAGTGCACAAGGCTGGGGAGCACTGTGGATGAAATGTCAGTCCATCAGAGGACATGTACGCAATCTGGCCAATTTATTGACACCCACTAAGCTATCTACATATTTTTGGATTTCAGGAGGAAACCGGAGTACCTGGTGGCATTAACACAGCATGGGGAAGTTGAATTTGGTTTGATTTCATTTGAATCTCCATTCCTGGAGATGTACAGCAAGGGTGCTGTCCACTGATCCACAAGACCACCCAGAGAGATGACCTTTCAAAGCTATGTTTTTTTTTATATATATTTTTCCAGATTAATGAACACAATACCTGGAAATCATTTAATAAATAAACACGATAAATTGATTGTTTTATTATATGCTTTGAGTGGAGACTAGAATTTGTCTAGCAGGGAATCACAGGGATTCACAATAACTGAAATCGTTCCTGAGTGTTTGATAAAACTAACATAAATGCTAAAATTTTTAATACTGGAGTCAGAGAAACTTCTGGTTTTCTGGCTCTGACTTGATTGGACTTTAGTTTAGGGTCCAAAGAAATGAGCACAGCAACAAACAGATGGTACTGAAGATGGATTGCAGCTTAACCTCCAGGACACATTCCTTCTTCGATGACTGTTCCTCCTTCAAGGTTACAGCAGGCAGACCAAGTCAAGGTGGGAGACACAGCGAAAGAAGCATTTACAAAACTGCAGGTACAGCAGAGTTTCACTAAACTTAGGACCTATCAGACAGGGATATGATTTATCTTAGTTTTTACCAGACTGATTAAATAACTTACAGCTTTTTTTATCCCCCTGCTTTTGCTTAACACAAATTACTCCCGTACAAATTAAGTATGTAACATGCAGCAGCAAGCCACTGACAGAATCCCTCTGGTTACAAAACTACAGCCTTAAACATGTGGCTTCCCGCTACCCAGATCTATATCTTTCTCAGAGGAAGATATTAGTCTTTAAGTATATGATCATGCTTGGTATACTCTTCATATACCTCAGGTACAGCAGACAGAAGCAGACAGCAGAGGTGTTGTTTCGGATCAGGGAGCACAGCTAAAGGTAACTGGTTCCTATTTAACAGGCACCAACGTGCCTGTCGTATGCCCAGTGGCTTGGCAAAGCTAGGGGGGAAAGGGCTAGGGGACAGGCTGAGGCAAAGAACTACCTGTTGGCTGTACCCCTATGAAAACACAATAACACTCAGCATCGCACTGAATAGAACAGAGTAGGTTTATAAATGGCAGTTAAATGTGAACAGCATGGTTTTTTTATGATAGTCCAATACTGAAACATGCTTCATATATCTGACCTGGCAGCAATACTACTGATGGGCATGTTTGTCCTGTGATGCAATTAAGCAAAGTTTTCCAAAAGTATAAGCCTGCAGCCATACACTACCATTCAAAAGTTCGGCGGTCACTTAGAAATTTCCGTGCTTTTGAACAAAGGGAAGTTTTTTGTCTATTATAATCAGATTAATCAGAAATACTGTGTAGACTTAGTTAATGTTGTAAATGACTATCATAGCTGGAAAAGGCTATTTTTTAATGGAATATCTACATAGGTGTACAGAGGCCCATTATCAGCAACAATTAGTCCTGTGTTCCAGTGGGATGTTGTGTTTGCTAATGCAAGCTTGATTTCAAAGGTTAATTGATCATTAGAAAACCCTTTTGCAATTATGCATAAAACAGATGAAAATTATTGTGCTGATTAAAGAAGCAATAAAACTGACCTCCTTTGGGCTAGTTGAGTATCTGGTTCAATTACAAGCTCAAACTGGTCAGAAACAAAGAACTTTCTTTGCAAATTTGCCAGTCTATTCCTGTTCTGAGAAATGAAGGCTATTCTATGCGAGAAAATGCTGGGAAACTGAAGATTTCATACCATGTTGTGAACAAACGGGCTCTAACCACAATAGAAAAAGGGAGGCCCCGGTGCACAACTGAGCGAGAGGATTAATATATTAGAGGGTGTAGTTTGAGAAACAGATGCATCATAAGTCTAATAACATCTGTCAAGCATGCTGGAGGCAATGTGATGGTCTGGGGCTACTTTGCTGATGGTAAAGTGGGAGATTTGTACAGAGTAAAAGGGATCTTGAAGAAGGAAGGCTATCACTCCATTCTGCAACGCCATGCCATACCCAGTGAACGGCACTTAATTGGAGCCAATTTCGTCCTACAACAGGACAATGACCCAAACACAGCTCCAAACTATGCAAGAACTATTTAGGGAAGAAGCAGTCAGCTGGTGTTCTGTGTATAGTAGAGTGGCCAGTACAGTCACTGGATCTCAACTCTATTGAGCTGTTATGCGAGCAACATGAATGAATAGTATGCAAGTAGTGTCCATTAAGCCAATCCAACTTGTGGGAGATGCTTCAGGAAGCACGGGGTGAAATCCCGTCAGATTACCTCTACAAACTGACACCTAGAATGCACAAGGTCTACAATGCAATTGCTGCAAATGGAGGACTCTGACGAAAAGAAGTTTGAAGAACACAATTATTTTTATTTCAAAAATGATTATTTCTAACTTTGTCAATGACTGTCCTATTTAATTAGCTATATTTCATATTCAAACTCATTTCATGTATGTTTTCATGGAAAACAAGAAAAGTTCTATGTGACCCGAAATTTTGAAGGGTAGTGTAGGTCGGAATTCCTTAGCAGAAACAGGTCTCCAGTTTCAGCAAACTCCCGAAGCCCAACATAGACATACTCAGAATCTTGTTTAGCATAAGCAACAAAACAGTGCACAGAGAGCAGGCAAACCTTCAGTTTAATTTCCATTTTCATATTTACAATTGTTTAGAAGAAAATGCATAATGACAGCAATTAAAAGTACAAAAGGAAAACCAGGATAATCCACCTCCGGGTTGAGATGCAGAGATTCTTCACCGGATCTGGAAAAGACAGCAGGAAAACAACATTAGCCCAATCCCTACGTTTGTGTGTCTTTACTCAGAAGACCAGGTCGAGTAATGGCCCTTTAACAGGACAGCCTGATGCAAAGCTGAGTAGGTGTCTTTGGTCGCATGCAGCTGTCCCTGCTCAGGGCCTGGGCTCCAGCAGAAGGACATTTTCATTACCTCAGTTAGATGGCACCTCTTACACTGAATCCACAGCCGTGGGACTCCTCTGTACTCAGGATGACTGATATTACAGCCCAGAATGCTCCACCCAGCCCCATGTGAAAATGAGAAATAAACACACCGTGTACTTGTCCCATTTCTTCTCGGGGTCATATGGTTCCCAGCGACTGGCTGGAAAGATGTGCTTGTTCTTTTCATACCAGCTTCTGAGCACAACTTTGCCTGCATGAGACTGAGGCAAACAGGGAAACACTTTCTGAGTTATGGGCCAACTGTTCGTACAGCTTAATCAAAAGGTGAAATTGGAGCTAAGCAGCACAATTACAATATACATTTAAGATAAAATTGCTGTTGTTAAATCCTGATAATCACTAACATCCCTAACAGCATTTTTTTTGTTGGTTTATAGACCCAAAGGCTCCATCTACACAGGTCATTTCTATTTTTATAAATATCTGCACTCTTTGCAAACTGCTCTCCGATTCCAAGAGTACTCATTATGCTGATATGAATTATTTAGAAAGAAAAAAAACTATTAATATGATATAAGGCAAAGTACACCATTGAAACTAAAAAGTTTTTCATCAGTTATTTCAGGATGAAATTTAGGAAGTAAAAACATGGGACATTTGGTGTTGCACCTACATCCCAAGCATCAACGTCATGCCACCATAAGGACACAGAGCAGACGGTGTTAATCTGAAGGCTAAAGGCCTTGTATTGAGTCTTAAGTGAGAGATAGAAGTACAGTAGTGCCCCGGTATCCGCAGATGACCCATTCCAAGACTTGGAAGTAAGTGGAAGTAAGAAACCCCTCAAAGGACAAAGGAACAACGAAACACATACTGTTACACATTTTACAATGAAATATTGTACCTTTAATGAGAAAATTGTGTTTGTTAAGAGCAATCAAGCCCACATTCACACTTGAGCTGTGTTGCTCAGCTTGCTGAGAGACGGAAGATGATGGCAGGCAGCATCTTACCAATATATACATTGGCAGGCTCACACACATGTAACGCTTGGAGTTCCGGATTAGCGCATACACCTCTTCATGTGTGAAATGCTATGCTACCCTACCTGGACTGTATGACCAGCACAGCGTAACCATTAAACAGAATTTTGTATGAACAACATCCATGTGTGTATACGCTGTTCTGTGCTATTTGAAGGTTGCTGTGCAGACTGCATGCTTGTGTCCGGTATACAAGTTTAACGTACTCACCAGCTGTACTGGGCATGACTGAGCTGGCATACTTCACCACATAACAGCCTGTACTCTCATAGTGTGTGTTTTGAAACTCATAAATCATTTATTTATAGAACTTTTCCGATTTTTTCAGACCACATTAAACAGCAGATATGAGGGTCCCACTGTACAAAAATCTTCAGTTCAGAAGCTGTAATTCACTTCAGTTTTGCAAACTAAGTATTAATGGCTTCGCATTTTCAAAATTTACTTACATTTACATTATTTATTTAGCAGACACTTTTATCCAAAATGTGGGTGGCTCTAAGGTTAGGGAGCTGTCAAAGTAATCAGAAGGTTGCAGGTTTGAATCCTGTGAATGGCATGAATGATCTTATTTTGTTGGGCCCTTGAGCAAGGCCCTTAACCTGCAAATGCTTGGGTATGATGCTAATCTACATCCAGCTCTGTAAGAAGGTCCTCCAATTTACAGGGAAATTTGGAGGTTGGTGGCAATATTGGCAGCCCAGTCACTGGAAAAAACTCACACTGGACCATTCAGACTAATGTGGTCCTGCGGTATCACCCACTGCATGGCTGCACTCAGGTTCTCATCCCTGAGGTAGTTGGTCATGTGATCAGCGTGGGCTCCTTACCTCTCTTTGCTCAAAGAGAGGTTAATGTGAGGATCAGGGAGCAAGGTCAGAGTGTTCCTGAAACACTTGGAGTTAAGGGCCCCGCAGTGATATGTTCACTCTGCTAACCGGACGACCTGAAATGGTGACCTTCTGATCACAGACACAGAATCTGATGGTGCATATTGAATAACATACTGATATTTCAACAATTGGGCATGATTCTCATAGAAACACCAAACCAACGGAATGTTTAATTTGCAATAAAATCCAAAAACTTCAAAAAACACAAGGTCGGGATTAGCACCCACAGGTACCTCATCTTACCTCATCCTTCTCCACGGTGGCATCGCTCACCAGCCGTACGTCGTCATGAACATCAAAGTTAAACAGCGGCCCTGAACGAGATAAGGGTGGTACAGCAGGTCACACACACACTCACACACATTCACACACATTCACACACACACAAAGGTATCACGTGAAAATGGTCTGTTCCTACCCAACAGTTGCTACACTACTGTGCCTCTACAAGGGGGCTACAATGAAACACTTTAGGAAATGTATAAGTTTCAGCCTACCACGGCTTTATTCAACTGTGCTGTGCCAAAAGAAGAGGCACAGATGTCTGACTGAAACAACAATGTGTCAAATATACTAAACAAAGCTGACTTATTCCCAGTCCCACAGCTATTGATGTGCTCCTCCTTAAAACATTGAGTTCTATCATAACCTGAGTTCTGTGTTAAGTTCATTGCCCTGTTGGGTTTGTGGTTCTGGCATGTTCACTGCAATATTCCCATATTACACCCTGCAAACCAAACTGGCACATTTCGTAGGTCACAGATGATAATTTCAGCAGGATCACATAAAACTTTGTAGGATCAATCAAATCTTTGGAAACGTATCCTACACATGCAAAAGGCTCAAGTAGTGCAGCCAGCGTGTTATAAGGTGATCAGTCAGCTTCCCGTTAATTACTCCAAAGCAAAAGCAAGCTGGCAGCAGAACTTACCGCTTTTGCCCCTGGCTTTCGTCACAATGAAGTCGTAGAAGCTGTGATGCTGAAAGAGAAAAAAAAACAAGAAAAAAGGTTTGAGATCAATATTTATGTTAAGTTGCCCTAATCCCTACTCTTCCAACAGCCCCCATCTGTGGCCCCTCTACACACTTCCCCCAACTCCAAAAAAATCTTCATTTACAGCCCAACTTTGTGTGATTTGGTTCAAAATTAAATCAGATGTAGATCTTCATCCACATGTTTTCCCCCATAACAACAGTAGGGACCCTTCCCTTTGCTAATGCTACGTGGCAACACGTCAGTTTAGATAAGATTTGTTGTCAAAATTTGAACAATTCCAAATTTTCACCAATATTATGTGCCTGCAAAGTTTGAAAATGATCTGTCAAATACTTTTTGAGTTATCATACTAAAGATCAGAAGTGGGCTGGTTCCATAACCACACATATTCTCTGCCCAGGGAATAAAATAATGATTTCATGCATTAAATTAGCAAACAGTCTTCTCAAATAACATACATCATAACTGTTTTGACAGCCACTATCAAAGTTCTTACATGTGGAATGATGAGATCCTCCTTGATGTACATCAGCTGCTCCACACCAGCTGATCTGCAATGTAAAGGTACCCATACCATGTAAATGAGCGGGTCTTTCTCTCTCTCCCTCTCTCTCACCAAACACTGTTCACCATCTGACTAAATGGGACTCCATTTCACACACACTTTGCGCCTTAATTTCAATGTAATTCAATACTACAACTATAATAAAAAATATTACCAGCAACTGCACATGCTGTATTATGAAATACAAAACATTACATCAGAAAACCTCAATACACACATAGGTCTCTCCCCTTCCAATGGTCACAGCCAAGGGTCTCACTCACACATTTCATTAAAGCCAAAATTCACGTACCTCAGTTCGCTAAAATCCTTCCTAAGCACCTCCAGAGCTTTTTGTAGAAACTGCTGCATGGTGTTGCCCTTCTTCATCTAGCCCACAAACACAGCAGTGTTACCTGTTTAACCAGTCCCTACAGAGGACTATGCACAACACACGGAGGTTATATATGATAAACACACAACAGCAACAAACAATGCACCTTATTTCCAATGCAGGACGTTGCACACAAAACAAATGAATAAATGAAATTTGATATTAACAGCCACAATGCACCAAAACAACAAATTGGGTGAATTGTTTGGGAACCCAGTCTCCGTATATGCTACCTTCACAGTGCGGCGATGACCAGAACCATCCCAGTAGCTGAAAGTGATCTCAATCTCCTCACCTGAAATTAAACAACAAGCATGATAGAATGCAGATACAGGGTCAGGAGAGCAGAGGCAAGCCGCAGTTTAAAAGTTACTTGCCCTATTAAAAAAGAACATTGCATTCCCTTTATCATCCAAATAGTAGCTTATTTACTCTAATTAAATCATAGCATATTATTAGACCTGGAAAAAACAGGCTCAAGAAGAGCGTTTCACAAGTATCTATAGGTCTCGGTACTGGCACACGTTTGATTTGATTCCTATTCACAAGCTAACAACTAAATTACATTCCAATTCAAAATCAATCCAAAAGGATTGAGATACCATACAGCAGCTTTCCATTTTTGGAGAAATGTTTAAAAAGCTCTAAATGGAGCAAAAATTTACAAATGCAGATTTGTTGGAAATACACTGTGAAAACCACCAAAGAAAGACTTGAGTGGCAAAATTATTTTAATTTGAAGAGCATATGGGTATAATTTTTTAAAAATAAAACTTGTCTCTTTCAAGGCACAAAAAAACTGACTTCTGATAGAAAATAAAAATAGGCAAGTGGAAAACTCACATGCCATGTTTCAGAAGGACTTTCCCTTGAAGACATGTGCCAAAACTGACTCAAGGTTGGTCCGTAATTGCGTGAGTGTGCGTGTGACTGTGTGTACCCTGCGGTGTGTTGGCGACTGCCCGGGGTTGGCTCCTGCCTGCGGCCATTGTTCCCGGGATAGGCTCCGGTTGGGCGTAAGTGGTTACGGTGATGGGTGGATGGATATGTGCCAAAACATAAACCAGAATCTTTATTTGAAGAACATACGGGTGTCGTTTAGTGCTGGGAATCAGCCCTGACCGAACAATTAGATTTTGATTCACAAGTGGCCGATTGAATAGAGTAGAAATGAAACCCAATCTACGATTAAGACACATTTGCTAACAAACCAGGTCTGTTCTAAAAACAACAGGCACAGCTCTGTTGCAACACTGCAAGGCAACATAATTGTTTACCACATGTTGAAAATAAGATAATGAAAACCAGTATATAAAAATAAGCATGACATTTATTCTTATACGTACCCATAAATACACCAAAATGCTTTGTCCACACTTTTACCTCTGGAGCTCTTGTACCCAGCCAGAAATAAATTATACATGCAGACTTTTCTTCACTCTTTTGCTTCAGTGTTACCCAGGCCATTCGAAAACACGTAATTCACAATATTCTCATAACCGAGAGCAGGTCACATCTAATAATATCCGTTTTGCTTTATTTATTTTGATTTATATATTATTTTTCTTCACCATAAGCAGTGTACTGAAAATGAATGCAATACTATTGCAACACTCGTATAACTGAATGAAGAAGTAGCATCACCGATACGATAAGAGGATCGATACAATATTCAGCGAGAATATTTTCAAAGTCATGGGGAAAATTAACTAGGTCGATCAATATTAAATCGTCAAAACCAGGATGGTAATTAATCATAAAATCAATATTTTTTCCCTACCTCTAAGTATCTTTATGGAGGAGACGCCATATGGTGGACAAGATTACTTGTAGTGCAAGACTCTTCAGGCTTAATCCTCCACAAGAGAAACGCTTGCATATGGGAATACTCACTCTTGATTTTCTCCTGCTTGCGCTCCCATTCCTGCCTGAGCTCCTCCCGGAGCCGATTCTCTTCCTCCTTCCAAGACAAACACACACAAATGACAAACTTGCACGGACTTCACCAAGGAGCAGACTAGGCGAGTTGTTACTTTAACTGTGCATGTTTTCTGTGTTATACATCACAATCTAAATAAAAGAGTTTGAGTAGTCAGAGAGATATAATACAGTCTGGAAGTGATCATTTTGACTGTGCTGAACAAAAAACAGACCTCTTAGAGATGGAGAATGAGTTTTTATGGACTGTACTTGTAACCAGGGATGCACAATGTATTTTTGCCAATATTCAATATACAGGTATTTTCAAAGTGATATTTCAGTCAATGCCAATGCATACATCTTTACATCACTGAAGAGAAGTAAAGTGAAGTCTGTGCTGTACTAGAAATATCCTGTTACTCATTGTTATAAGCTACTTGTTGTAGAGACCTAAAACAAGACCAACATTTGATTCTACCCTAAATGTATCATTTTACAAATGCAGACATTCGATCTTGAAAAATAAGGAAATTATTTCAATTAGATGTAAATTATATGCTAGAGCCACATTTTAATTAAAACAATAAAACTCAGCTCGATATGCCGTTTTCCATGACCCAAAAAGCACTGTAACAACCCAGTGACAGCAAGCTCTCTATTGCATAAAATATGCCACCTTTTTAAAGTAACATACATGTTGAAAAGTTGAATGAGTGTTTTACCCCTCCTCACATCACTGGTGCGTTATAAGCATCGCAAACAGCAGTTCTGTTATCCGTTTCAGATATTAGAATGAGTTTTGGGATACAGTTTGTTCCATTCAGTTCACTTAAAAGATTCGTTCATCAACTTCAGTGACAATCGCTGTTCACATAAAATAGATCTGAAACACCTGTGTTCCAATATGTCAAAACACAGTCAATTATTTAGGCTAAATAGAGCTAAGGAGTAAGATAGTACCACCAATAAGTCATGAGAGAAGAATAATACAGCTTCTCCTCAGGTTACGATGGGGTTACATTCTGACAAACCTACTGTAAGGTGAAAATATCGTAAGGTGAAAATGCATTTTAACATAAGTACACCTAACCTAAAAAACATCATAGCCTAGCATACAGCCTACCTTAAACGCGCTTAGGAAACTTACATTAGCCTACAGTTGGGCTAAATTGTTAACACAAAACCTATTTTATAATGAAGTGCTGAATATCTCATGCAATTTACTGAATAATGTAATGAGAGTGACAAAGATTTATCCATCGTAAGGTTAAAATATCATAATACGGACCATTGTAACCCGGGGAGCGTCTGTATTTGTTAATGAATTATAGTCTTAACACTGTACCTTTGCTTCTTATGTCTGTTAAATACACATACCTAACACATACCTCATCACATACCTCATCACACAGGGTCCAAACATGAACAAACCTTGGTAAAATTCATTTGTAAAAGTAAACGTCTAAAATCCAACTGCAGCATAAGGGAAGTAACTGCACATGTAGACCATAAATTACACCAGTAGATGGTGTATTTCAGTCACAACAGAGGTACAGCTCTCTCGTTCAGTAGCCACTCTCTCACTCACTGACTCGTTCACTCCTTTGGGTCTCGTAATACTTCTGTAGTGCGTTTGCCAAAAGCTGCTGATAGCAACTTACATAGTTGGATCCATTCAGTGGCATGGCTTAAATCCATTTTAAATGTATAAATACACTGAATAATTTAAATGACATAAGGGCACAATCATTGGAGTGCCACTTGGGAGCTGAGCTGAGCCAAACAATCTGGCTCGATGAAAAGAGCCCGAATTCCCATCACTAAATGAGAGACTCTTGGTCATTCGTTCACCATAGGTGTCTATGTTCAGTGCCAGCCAGTCATATGCTCGCTTACAGCACGCCCTTAAATGCCCCAGTGGCCATAGCTGAAGAGGGAAACAGCATCTGTGTCATATTTCTGAGGACAAGTGGAAGAACAAAAAGAATGAATCTTTGCAGGGAAGTGAAAGCGAGTATACAGTTACTCTAAGGGACTCGTGCTCAAACTTCACACCATTATCAGATGCGGTTGGCCCAGTGTATGCATGGGGGATTAGTTCCAGGACCCCCCCACAGATACAAAAATCCACGGATGATCAAGTTCCTTATGTAAAAAGGTGTAGTATTTGCATATAACCTATATGACCTATGCACATCCTCCCATGTACTTTAAGTACTTTCTCTAGATAGCTTATAATACCTAATACAATGTAAATGCTAGGTAAATACTGTAGTTATTATACTGTATAGTTTTATGTCAAGTTACGCGTGATCGAGTCACGTCCAATCACATTTACGTCCAAGTTCCATATACACTGGTCTAGGAACGCCTGAAAGTGAATGTTGTAGGAAGTTTTTAATATTAATTTTTGTGACCTTATATTTATATTATTTTCTGTGGAGTGCTGTGTGCATATTACAGTACAGAGCTTAATGCTCTGCCTCTCCCCTGTAAGTATCGAGATACACTCAAATTGACTTTTGTCCAAAGGTCACACTCCCAAACACGGATGCAAGTCTGTAAACACAATATACGTGCAGGTATTAACATAACATTTTCTTTGTTTCAACATTTACAGATAGCTTTCATTTAATGACCTGAAAGGAAACACGGAGAATAAAGCACAGAATATTTAAAATAGAAGTAGAAATTTAAAAAAATATAAATGGAGAAAAGAAATTCTGGTCCATGGATGCGGAACCCGCGGATACAGAGGGCCGACTGTACTTCCAAATACGTGCATACAGCTGACATATTGAAGACTGTCGCTGGCATTCATAATACACATTCAGTGTCATAGTTAACACGTCAATTTAATGGCCAGGCTCATCAGCAGAAATTTTCTTATCTGCCAATGTTGATAATGAACTTATTAGGCTTTTATCGGCTAATACCGATGTCGTGCCAATATTATTGTGCATCCCTAAGTTGAAACAAGTGGAAGCAGCCTTCAGCACAGTGAGTCATTTGACCACAGATTTTGATTAGTGAAGAGATCATCCTAATGCTCACAAATTTATTTTAATTCTTACTATTCCTTTGCATAGGTGGAATTTTAAATATCCATCAAATTTTTGTTGATTTACTTTTTCATTATAAAAACAGGTGAGCCTATTCAGAATTCATATCTATATGTGGTACTATTAGACAGATATGCCAAAAACACAGTGAACATTGTTGTCTTAAGGATGGGAAAAAAAGAATATTTGACTTGCAATGAAAGACTTGTCTGCTCTCATAGATTTTCAGAGGACAAAGCTTCTCTGTTCTAGTGTTAAAGCACTACAACATTTATAACGTACACCAATTAGGAAAAATGTTACATTTGAAAATGATGTGTGTACATCTTTTTAAGAGAAGGTACGTTATCATTGGCTAACCTCTCTGTCTCTGTCAGGCAGGAAGCTGGTGTCCACATCAGGGTTCTTTCCCAATTTCTTTTTCTTCATGGAGAGAACTGAGATACAGAAGATGAGAACCGGCATTGCAGATCACATATAACAACAAAGCTAGCATTCAATCAAACCCTGACCTGTAAAGCTTCAACAAACAAATCTGAACCATTCCTGCCCTGAATTAACTGATCTGCCTTAACAGTGAAAGTTCAGGAAGTTTTGGTGAACACCACATGTAGTCTAAATTTCCCTCCTAGTTGAAGTTTTACCATGCAGGCAGCCAATGAGCTTTCCTAAACTCTGTAGGCATAAGGCCAGGCCTGAGAGGCGGAGAACCTTTTTCCTTCAACTTATACAGACTTTAAACATGAATCACTGTCATCTTTCTGCCACTTATACTGCATTTTCACTCTACATCAATATTGTGGAAGGATTTAGCATCTAACATTGCACTCATAGACTCATTGTGTTTTCTAATAACTTCCTTTTTTCTCAGTTTTATTATTTAGCCTATTTTTTCCCTTATTGTTCATATATGTTTATGCACAGTGAAGGAGCTGTTTAACTGCAATAATGCTGCACTGTCACTGTACTGTAAAGTTGCGCATGCGACAAAAATCTTGAATCTTCAAACTCACATTCAGCCTCTTCGTCATCATCATTGTTCTCATCCTCTTCATCTTCGGGGTTAAAAGACAAGCTGGCAATCTTCCGCTTCTGCTCTTCCTTCCTCTTCTTTTCCTTCTGCTTCTCTAGCTTCCTTGGAAACAAGAAAGAAGTTTCAAGGCTAGACCTGCACTTCAATCATTTAATCTTGATGCCAGGACCATTATGGGTGCTACTGTCTCATGTCTCATCTCCATTGGTTTAACTATGTGGCACATAGTTCACTCACAGCTGAAGCTCCTTGGACTGCTCTTTCTTGGCCAGTTGCTTTTCTCTCTCCTTAACCA